CAGAAAAATTGATGATGCCAATAAACACGATTGATTTTGAAGACTGTCGTGAGTTAACGAACTTCACTGAGCAGTTTTAACATCGGATCCGCCACAGGATGTACTTCAATCTGAGCATTTCTCTGTTTATGAGGCATTAAGTGTTTGACATATTTTATTATTTTCACCTTTTATTTTTCTATTCAGCAACCTAAGAAGTTTCAGTTTTGTTATGCAAAAAATACGTTTACATTTAATCCAGTTATTCAGTTAGTATTTAATTCAGCTGGCTCAACATAGTCTTAATTTTTGTATTTTTAATTCAGCATACTATAAAAAATGTCGCCCTTTATGTTATGCAAACTTGGTCAGGCTTCTTGAAACAAGAGAAAACTCAAATTTGTAAGAAAATGTCCACTTATCAATTAATTGTAAGTTGATCGATCAACTTTAGATCAGCTCATTAATCGATCACTTGTTTCCCTAATGCTGACTTGTGTATCCAAACCAGAATATCGCTCGTAAAAGGCGCTACGTTGCCACCGTGTCGCTACACGATCGAGTTTACGTGATCGGAGGCTACGACGGCCGGTCGAGGCTCAGCTCGGTGGAGTGCCTGGACTACACCGCCGACGAAGACGGCGTTTGGTACACCGTCGCCACCATGAATGTACGGCGCGGCCTCGCTGGGGCCACGACCCTGGGAGGTAAATATTTTCATACCATCAAGATAATTCTTTGAATAATCTGCTTCAAGAATAAAAAAAAGATAAATTATTTACTCAGCAGTTATATTATTTGTCTTTCAACAGATATGATCTATGTCGCCGGTGGCTTCGATGGCAGCCGACGGCACACCAGCATGGAGCGATACGACCCCAATATCGACCAGTGGAGCATGCTGGGAGATATGCAGACTGCTAGAGAAGGCGCTGGCCTGGTGGTGGCCAGTGGCCTGATCTACTGTCTAGGTATTTTGTTCATACCTAGACTTGTGGGTAGAGTAGGCGTCACAAGAGTAGTCGTCTTGTGTTTGGAAGGTTGTAGGTTCGATTCCATCTTCCTCCTGCCACAAGGCACTTAGCCCCAAATTGCCTACCGATCTGCATATCGGCATATGAATGTGTGAGTGTTTGTGTGTGTGAATGGGTGAATGTGACTTTAGTGTAAAGCACTTTGATAAGATAATTTTATTAGTCTCCTGTAGGAGAAATCTGCCTTGGAAGCAGGAGCAAAACTGCAATTCAAAATAAAAAATACAATAAAAATTTTTTTTTTTGATATCGAATAATGTGATGTGTGCTACTTGTCAGTTAGTTCAGTGACAGTCCTGTGCTGAATATGACACTTTGGACTTTTCTTCTGTTGTGTATATTGCGCCAAATTGCAACAAATGTCGTCTCAAGGCACTGTGCAAAGCAAAAAAGTAAATTTAATCCAATCATACCGATACAGTCAACTGATCCCAGTTATATAAAAAAGGCAGTCATGTTGATTTTATTATTCAAATTGGTGAAATTGTTTTCTATCTAAGAAAACTCAGCAGATTGCATCAAGTCATCAACATACAGCATTCACTCCTTCTGGACACACAAACAGTCTTGTGTTGTTGCGTTGTCTGATTGACTCTGCAGAAAAGCTGTAGAACTGGAGGGAAAAAACCCAAATCCATTTTCATATAGGAGAAAAATGAAAAACAGTAAAAACAATGCAACTTTAGAAACATATAAAGTTGTTATAAATACAACCAGTTATAGATCACATTCATCCAACCAGCTTTCCTCCTTCCAGGTGGTTATGATGGCCTAAATATCCTAAACTCAGTGGAAAGATACGACCCACACACGGGTCACTGGACCAGTGTGACACCCATGGCCACGAAGCGGTCAGGTGAGTTAAGACAACAGATTAAAACATGAATTTTACTCCTCATCTGACACATCCAAATTGTCTTCAGGGGCTGGTGTGGCGCTCCTTAACGACCACATTTATGTCGTGGGAGGGTTTGATGGCGTTTCACACCTGGACTCAGTGGAGGTTTACAACATCAGGACAGACTACTGGACCACCGTGGCTAGCATGACGACGCCGCGGTGTTACGTAGGAGCTACTGTCCTCAGAGGACGACTCTACGCCATCGCCGGGTGAGATTAAACGTCCTTCCCTCTGTATACATCTCAACTTGGGAGGGATTAGTTGTCCTTTTTAATTTCACCTTATTAGCAGTGGTGGCTACATTTCCTACACAACCTTTAAAATATCTAAGGCACTTAGCTTCCCATAAGTTAATTTTTATGTTTAAATTCTAAAACGCTAATTTACTATCAGTTGAATAAAGTTCAATATCTGAATTCTTCAAGTAGTTAGCTGTTTATATTTATGCTCTTATTTTGAAGTGGGTGAAGACTGCTAGCGTAGCAGTTCTGTTTTCTATCATTTCGTCTCTGTATTTTTGACACCCCTGCTTTAGTCGAATCACAGAGCAGAGTCACGCTGGGTGGTATATGTTGTATTTTTTGCACCATATAAGCTTTCACAACCCCTGAAGCTCAATCAAAGTCTTTACATCCCTTTTGTCAACAGTACTTCAAGAAACACGCCTCCTCCAGGCGGAGCTTCACAATGGTTTAAGAATAAATGGGTTTTCTTCACTATTTAGTCTTTCTGTCTTTTATTGGAGGTTCATACTACAGCTGAGATTTTCAGAGCATGTTGGTTCATTGAACAGAGAAGGCCTAATCTGTAATTTATTATGTACTTTTTCATGTATGTCCTTCTACATTTTTCTCAACTATGATGCAGTGTCTTTAATGAAACAAAGCCATGCTGACAAATACTGAAGAAATGTATGCAAACTTCTGATTTTGAAGACGATGAATAAATCTGTCTTCTTGTATTATTTCATCATTAGGAAATAGAAATAAGTTTGTATTGGCTTCAAATGAGAAGTTTGAAGTTTTAACTTCAAATGAGAAGAAAATTATACATGCATTTTTATTCTGGTTTCAACTGTTAAAGAAAAAAACATCTTATATTCTACATTTTACACGGTTTTATACATTTATTTGGGTCTCTACTGTTTCTAAAAACACCCAGCCGTTTTTGTTTGTCAATAATTTATTGTTTTGTGGTGCTTGGAAACTGAGCCGTTTCTAAAAAATTTAGCAACAGGCGGCTTAACAACACCTCATTCTGAGACAATTAAATCTTATTATCTAAGTATCATTTTGCACAAAAAATTTAATGAACATGTTTGGTTTAGCCCATATATCAATCCTAACCTGTTTAAGGAAGCACAATAAGTCACATTTAAAAAGAAATATTAAAATTAAGTAATAAATATATAACTACAAAATCAGTTTTCAAACAGCAAGTTAATTTATTAAGTTAAAAATGATATCCAGAAAATAATTGCCCCACTGTTAAATTCTAAATAAATTATAGTTAGTGGCATTTTTCAGGGTGTTCATTTACTACATGCAGAGCTGTTAGTGCCTGACATTTAAAATCAAGAAATCACAACATGAAGTCGGATAAAAAAAAGAACTCAAAAAACAGGTCAGAAACAAAGTATGAGTGCAAACTGGAGACTCAGTCTCTCTGTTTTCCCCTAGATACGATGGGAACTCCCTCCTCAGCAGCATCGAATGTTACGACCCGGTTATCGACTCCTGGGAGGTCGTCACCTCCATGGCAACCCAGCGGTGCGACGCGGGAGTCTGCGTCCTGCGAGAGAAGTAACGCCGGGTCCAGAAGAAGGACGAACACAAGAGGACAGGCAGCTAGACGTTTTCTAAAATGTCACTACTAACAGAACCACGAAGGAAGGGATGCTAAGATGCCAGAATATGCAAGCAGAGGGTTGGGACTGCGCCACAGAGATTGAGACTTTGCGTCACTTTCAAGGAGCCCATCTCCACTTGCATGAGTCTACAGTGGTGTCTGTTGTCACATGTGAGATTATTTTTTCAGAAGTGCAATATATTTTTACCCATCAAAAGAAAAACTGTGGAGCAGATTAAGACTCCTGCTGCTATTTGCCTTATAACTTTCACCTGCATCAAACACGTTGCCTCCCATCTGACTGATATTACATTGTCTTATTATGGAGTGAACTGATTCAGCATATGCATGCTCATCAGTGCGCAATAATGAAAATGGGACTTTTAGATGGAAATCGCTTTATCACAGAAGGTTTATTTCTTTCAATCAAGTTATATTTTGAGATGAATATTGGATTAGAAAACGACTGAACTGTGCTACTTGATTGGTATATATTTTTCTCCAATTCAACAACATTGAGAGATCAAGGACTTACATATCAGATGCATGTAATTTTTTAAGGATTTAGACACGTGTAGGATACAGAGCCTGAATGTCACTGTTTGGAAAGCAAAATAAAAGTTCTCGCAAAGTATAGATTTGGGAGACAAAATGTTGACTTGTTGATTCACACAATGAGTCGGATAGGATAACATGTCAAAACAGTTAATCAGTGTTTTAACTGTCATACAGTCCTAGCATAAATTCCCTTCATATTTCTTGTTTTAAATGATAATATTACATGTTTTTGTTGGGTTTCTGAGGAGACGCTGTCAGAAAATGTTCCCAAATATTTTAATTTGGTAGAATCCACATGAAGTTTTTATTTTTAACCTACAAGACCCAGCATAGTGCTGTGAACTATCTGTCAGTTTGTCCACTGAAAGAGGCAAAATGAATAAGTTGCAGCAAATAAAAATATGTAGTTGATACTTCATCAATCTCATCAATATATAAATTGAAATGTTTAGGTTTAAATGTGGAGTTTAAAACATTAAATGTCTCAACACTAATTAGGTCCCAATTAATGTTGGCGCCTAAGTTTAGGCCCGAACACTGAGCCTTGTGGTACTCCACATTTAATGTTTTGAGTTCTGATAAGTCTTCAATAAACTGTAAAAATGGTTTTCTGGTCAAGTATTCAACCATTTGAGAGCTAAGAGCAAAAAAAGTTAATACTCCATATTACATTGAATTCAGATATTTGTTTTTTTCTGATTCTCGCCCATTAAGCGTTTCTGACACAAAGTTTGGTAATGAATGAAGATTGCAGACATTTCCACGAACAAAAGCAAAGTTCTGCGTATTTTTCCTGACATCTGCAAGTGACAGCAAGCCTTAAACGTGACCAAAACGGCGCTTTGTGTGTGAGAAGTGGAATGATGCTGTTCCCTCCCTCCGTCCATCTGCTCCCTCCTCCCGACGCCTAAAATAAAAAGCGACACACAACGGCGTGCCGAGTAGGATGAGACGCGTCCCGGGACGTTACAGGGGAATTTCACTGTCTGCAGAAGAATTTCCTTTCATCACCTGGATCAATCAACATGGTAAGAAAACTATAGTTGTTTTTTTAATGCATCATTCTTCTGCTTATTTTCTGGTTGCAATATGTCACATTTTATCCAATCTAAAGATAGAATGACACCAAAACTACACTTTACTTGTGAATGTGCAAGTATGAGGAGAAAACTGTTTTACGTTTTGATCCTTTTCAGTCTGATTGTTTATCTTGCAAATGTCATTCAACAGTGAAAAATCATCTAATGGGATGTTCTCCCTCCAGCAGAGACAACATCAAATTCTCAGCATGTTGAAACACGACTGCTGGAAGCACTTAGAAAAACATCAGACTGCTGTGCTCGACTTTTTTTTTTTCACTGTAATCCAAATTACTGAATGCCATTTGTTTTTATAACGTAAAAATGTTTGTACATAAGTTAGTAAAAGTTAATTCAATTCAGTTTATTTATGTAGTTCCAATCAGAAGTGATAACTAGTTGTACTTATTCAGCTGCATTCACTTGAGTAAAATTGAAAACAATTTCAGTTAGGAGTTTTAGAACGCAATACTTTTTACTTTTACTTGAATAAAATTCAAGTAAAAGTTGAAGTTTCTGAACACTTTTCTCACTGTGAGTAACTTCATCAACAAACATTTCAACCAAAATTCACCAGACAAGAAAACAAATCAAGAGTATATGCTGGAGTGGAACCTCTTGTTTATACACAAGCTTTGTTTTTTATTATGTGCCATTTGAAGGTCAAAAAGATCCAATAAATATTAGATATTGTCACAAAAAGTACCTAACCCTGTCCTAACATAATTACACACACAGTATCTACTGAAAGTATTCGTTTAGTAAGTTGAAGTGTTTCCTTCCGCCTAAATTTACAACATTCACAGTTTATAGTACTTTTTTCATTTCTTTCTTTAAAATATCAAAATTTTCACATAATTTTAGACTTTTTTTTACCTAACAATTTTAAATGCAGTATAAAATCAAGTGTTATGATGAAACAGTTAGTACTCAAGTGACCGTTTTATTAAATACTTTTATAGTCTTAAGTAATTTCTTGATCAAAAATATTTTTAAAGTAGTGATACTTTTACATATGTAAAATTTTTGGTATATTTGACATTTTTGTTTACAAATATTCAGTAATGCCCACTTTTCCTCTAGTCTACACATGGTTTTATTTACTTTTATATATTACTCATCGTTTGGTGCTTATGAAGCAGTTATTAATTGCCTTTAATATACTTATTCTTAAATGTTTGTGCTGGAAGTGACTGGTTCGTCTTTTTTCTGTGTCTTTTGCTGCTGGAAACATCCATTTTCTTTATATTTCCTCCACAGAGAGAGTGCATCTCCATCCATGTGGGCCAGGCAGGCGTTCAGACTGGAAATGCATGCTGGGAGCTGTTCTGCCTGGAGCATGGTGTCGGTCCTGATGGCGTTTTCCTGAACGGTCCTGTAGCTCCGAACTGCCGTGAAGATCCGTTTAACACTTTCTTCAACACTGGGAGTTTTGGTCGTCACGTTCCCAGAGCGCTCTTCGTCGACCTGGAGCCCACGGTGATCGGTGAGTAGATCCTTGCAGTCCAAAAGGTATCAAACTAATTTTAATTTTCACTTCCTGTCAAAGGTCTGATTTCCAAGATTCTGTTATGAAAACACAATGGATAGCAGACAGGAAATTCTTTCCCTTCCTCTTTTCTGTCTTTGCTGCAATGCATTTTGAGAGATTACTATGTTTAGTCTGAGGGAAAGTAGCTCATAAAGCCCATATTTGATGTCTTCTCCAGGGCCGTTTCTAGCTTTGTGGGGGCCCAGAGCGTGATGCTTTTGGGGAACCCCAAAAATGCCAGTTTATTACTTGACATGCAAAACAGGATACAGTTAAAATTACACGTCTTTACATGAATATAACTGATTAAAACTATAATGCAACACTGCAAAAACACAAAATAAGTTTTTGTCTATTTCTAATGCAAATGTCTTAGTACACTTGGAATAAGATAAAACTAACTTAGAAATAACTTTTCAGCAATATATTGGAAAATAAATTTTTCTTTATACTGGCGGAAAAAGTACTGCTTCTATCGACAGTTTATTTCACTTATAACATTTTATAATTGAAATAATCTCCCAATAGTACTTTTTTACCAATATTGTGGAATTATTTACTGTACAAGCGCTTATATCTTGATGAAAAGTTACAGATAAGTCAGTTCTGTCTTATTTCAAGTGCACTAAGATATTTGCATTAGAAACCAGGCCAAAAATACTCGCTAAGACATTGTTTTTGAAGTGAAAACATCAGTTCTATATATGTCAAGAAAAAACACAAATTTCAAGAGTTTAAATGTTTCTGCTATGAAAATCTGAATAAACAACTTGCAAGACACAAACCTTGCGGATTGGATTTTGTGACAGGATAATTTTTTGTAGAAAATTTCTGAGTTTTATTTTTGCGGACATTTACCCATGGTTAAAGCTGAAATGAAAACTAAAACAGACATCCAGTTAGATTCTGTCTTTTCTGGACTTAATTTTTCTCTCCAGACGAAGTGAGGGTTGGGAAGTACAGAGAGCTCTTCCATCCTGAGCAGCTGATCTCTGGAAAGGAGGATGCGGCCAACAACTACGCTCGAGGACATTACACCGTCGGGAAGGAGATCATCGACGGAGTCATGGAGCGCGTCCGGAAAATGGTCAGTAATTAAATGTGCGAGTAGAGCTGGCACATGACACATGATCAGTATCAATAGATAATACATTTGATAGAATATTCAATATATAGAATAATGACTGAACTCTTTTCTAGAGCTGCACAGCTTTCTGGAAGGTGTCGGCAGAGGAAAGGCTTTAGCTAGCTAAGAAAGCTTGGTGGCATCAACTAACTCACTCACTCTTAGGTTGCCTAGCAACTCATTCATTCTCTGGTTACCTAGCAACAGCCTGCTGAGTTCAGTTGCACAGCAGCAGTTTCAGGTTTCACCACTTTGCCTCACAACTGCTTAAAAGTAAAAACGTTTGACGTAATGCGACCTGAATCTGATCTTTTCGTGACAGTCCGAATGCGACTCAGGCCGCTTGGGTATCGCATACGTATCCAATTCAAATGTGACCTGACGTCCAGGTCGCATTCATCTGACCTGACGTCATTGATACTCGACAAACATCACTATGCTGCTGGAAGAGAAACAACCATGAATAGTATAGAATAGAATTCAATTTTATTGTCATTGCACTGTCGCATGTACAAGCAACGAAATGTAGTTTGCATCTATCCAGAAGTGCTATATTGGATATAAATATTTATAAACAGTTGTACAAGATATAAACAGAGAAATAATGACGTGCTATAAATGTTTTGTACAATAAAAACATAAATATGAGAGCTATGTACATATTATACAAATTACCAGGATTGTACAGAATATACAGGAATATGAAAAATGGATTGTGTATATATAATGACTGTAAGACTGTAATGAGGATAAAGTTAATATGCTGCTCCGGTTGGTCGACAACTCAAATGTGTAAGCTATCCTCCACCCTTAGCAACCATGTATGCTTCCCCAAGCAATTCTTCTTTTTATGCCAATTGGCAAAACACTGAGAACGCAGATGTTACTGCGCCCTCTACTGCGCATGCGGGACACTTTCAGGTCGTTCACACTGGAGATCACATATGAGTCCCTTATATTTGGAAGAGTGAACGGCCATGGCAAAAAATATGATTTTGGGGTCACTTTAGACTGCAGTGTGAATGCAGCCTAACAATAATTTAGAGCAAACAATGTAATGAACAAGTATTCTACAGCCCATAAACCTATCCAAACATGTTCAAGGAAGCATATAGGTCACGTTGAGGTTTGCAACGAGAAAATGTGAAAAAGTTCAAGTCTTTTATTTTACCTACCGATACTCCTGAACGATTGGCCGTGTTTTTTACCCCCTACTGCCTTTGTCTTCTCAGACGGATCAGTGCACAGGCCTGCAGGGTTTCCTCGTCTTTCACAGCTTTGGAGGCGGCACCGGCTCTGGCTTCACCTCCCTCCTAATGGAGCGTCTCTCGCTGGACTACGGCAAGAAATCCAAGCTGGAGTTTGCCGTCTATCCAGCGCCCCAGGTTTCCACTGCGGTGGTAGAGCCTTACAACGCCATCCTGACCACCCACACCACCTTGGAGCACTCTGACTGTGCCTTCATGGTGGACAATGAGGCAATCTACGACATCTGCCGCCGCAATATGGATATCGAGACTCCCGGTTACATCAACCTCAACAGGCTGATCGGTCAGATCGTTTCCTCAATCACCGCCTCCCTTCGCTTTGACGGGGCTCTCAACGTTGACCTGACGGAGTTCCAGACCAACTTGGTCCCTTTTCCACGCGTCCACTTCCCACTGGTTACCTACTCGCCCATCATCTCGGCTGAGAAGGCCTACCACGAGCAGCTGACGGTGGCGGAGATCACCAGCTCCTGCTTCGAACCAACCAATCAGATGGTGAAGTGTGACCCTCGTCGCGGCAAGTACATGGCGTGCTGCATGCTGTACAGAGGGGACGTTGTCCCGAAGGATGTGAACGCCGCCATAGCTAGTATAAAGACCAGACGCTCCATCCAGTTTGTTGACTGGTGCCCCACTGGCTTCAAGGTTAGCCCCACAGGACTAAGTTTAGAAATCAAACAAAAAGTCTTTCCCAACTTTGTTCCATGTCTCATCTATTTCTGTCCTTCCTTTTTATGTCCTTTCTTCCTTGTATCCTTTCGTCCTTGTTTCTTACCTCTATTATTGTCTTCTCGTTATTCCTTTTCTTCACTATGCCTGCCTTCCTTGAATGGAACAATACTTTCTTTGTTGCAAGAAAGGAATGAAAGTAGACATCTTACCTTCATTCCTTAGTTGTATCCTATTGTTATTTCTTCCTTGAGTCCAACCTTCATTCCTTCCTGGTCTACTTCTATTTGTTCCTTGTTTCTTGTGTCATTCCTTTATTACAACCTTGTCATTCTTACTTTTCTTCACTCTACCTTCTTTGTGTCCTTCCTCTTTTCCTTAGTTGTGTCCTACTCATTGCTGCCTTGCCATTCTTCATCGCCTTCCTTCCATTCTTGTCCCACCTGCGATCCTTCCTTGTCCTTCCTTCAATGTGTCCTACCATCCATGTATCCTTCCTTGTATTATTCCATACTTTCTTTTCTTGATTTTATCCTACCTCCATTCCTGGCTTTGAGTCCTCCCTTTTTCTGCTTTTCCTTGCTTCCTGTCCTTTATCTCCTATTTCCTTGTGTCCTTCTTTCAAACCCTGGAATCTCATTAATTTTCATGTTTTTATTTTTGAAGGACTGGAGACTCTTAGGCCTTGAGTCTAGACAATTATGGTTCATTATCAAGAAACACAGAAGAACTTTTCACCACTATAAATATCAGAAATGTGACTCCAGATCTCTTGTAAGTGTTGTCTTCCCATCCACAGGTGGGCATTAATTACCAGCCTCCGACTGCGGTGCCCGGCGGAGACCTGGCCAGTGTCCAGAGGGCGGTGTGCATGCTGAGCAACACCACCGCCATCGCTGAGGCCTGGTCCCGCCTCGACCACAAGTTCGACCTCATGTACGCCAAGCGTGCGTTCGTTCACTGGTACGTGGGCGAAGGCATGGAGGAGGGGGAATTTGCCGAAGCCAGAGAGGACCTGGCCTGTTTGGAAAAAGATTACGAAGAGCTGGGTCGGATGAGCTCCGACTCTGAAGACGAAGAAGTTTAATATCCAGATATTTCGAAACATTTTCCAAGTTGGAGCTAAATAGAAAGTATTGGAGCCTTGTAAAGTATTACTTTTCCAAGCTTGTTGTTTGAGAAGGCACAAAGTGAAACCGGATTTTAATTGTACTTTGAAATTTAACTGAAATTAAATTTGTTTTACAGAAACACGATTAGATGCTGCTTAAGAAGTTGCTAGCTTCATCATTTACCACAATTGTAAGGCTCATTCAGATTTTCTAGAAAATTTAAACTAAAACCACACAAGATACTTCATAGTTTAATATCTACAACACTGTTACACATTACTTTGGTATTAAATCAGGGGGAAAGTATGTACCACCCGTGTTTTGCTTTTATATCACATTTAAATCATCAAACAAGTTTAATTCTAGACTAATTCAACTTAAATGAATGCAAAATGTTATTTTTACTGATGAATTTGTTTATTGATGAGAGAAAACAAAACTCTTATGGAGACACTTAAGAAATTAATGCAAAAGCAGCATTTCTCGTGATGAGAAGATTTTGAAATACATCCCCCCTCATAACTTCTTACTCTTTCTTCTAGATCAAGTGTTTCCAAATTGTTCCAATACAGCCCCATACACCCAATTAGCTTCTGGAGGGGTCACCCCTTTTAGAAACCCACAGACACTGGGTTTGCAAAATATAAACTTTTCTTATATATATTCCCGATTTAATAACTATCACATTGGTTTAACATAAATGCTGCCTCATACCTTATAATTTTAGTTGGCCATGAGTTCTTATGGGTTTTGCAGAGAACAAAAGAACCAAACCATTGGCTTGCTAGCTTAACGAGCACAGCAGCTTGAAACATTTAACTGGCAACTAATCAGAAGGATGGGAACGGTAAACATTTAAATAAATAATTTTAACTTATGTTTTTTAATTTTTTAAACATAGATTATATTTTAGGATAAAAATTTGATTAAGAATTTGTGATTTAAAAAATACAACCTTTTTATGTTTCCCTCTAGCTTTCTGCGGCACCCTAGCGCCCCCTGGTGGCTTCCATTTTAAAAACACCATTCTAGACATGACAATTCTCATTTAAACAGCAGCATATTTTGGTTTTGACTATAGTTAAAACTTGTTAAATCAAGACCAAAAAACATTAGTTAAGAAGAAAATGTTTCTTGTTATGATCAGTTTTATGTCACAGTTTCCTCTTGTGACAGAAGAGGAAATTTTTGCTTCCCTTTTTTCTTCTTTCTTTATTGTTTATTTTCATGTGGACAAGTGATAAATATAAACTAAAACATAACATCACAACATTTGTAAATGTGATGTGATTTACTTGTTTACCCTTTAAAAGATAATAAATTATAAAATGTCATGCATAAAATAGATCCTAAAATTAAATTCAAACAGACCACAATGAAAAAAGGGGCAGTCATTTCTTCCTGATCCAGTTATTGATTATGCCTTGCAGTAAGTAGCGATGAGTCTATTTTTACATCTCTGTGACGGGATTTGATCCTCCATTTTTGGTACATTTGTTGCATTTCAGCTGGATGGAAGAGATTTTGGGGTGTGAGCAATCTGTTTCAGATGATTTCACATCTTCAGCCTCCAGGTTTGGACTTAGATTTAGGTTGTTGTTGGCTTTAGATTGGTGGTTATTAACCTGGGTTCGACCGAACCCCAGGGGGTCGATGAGTCGGTCTCAGGGCTTTGTAAAGTCGTGATGACGCGCCCCGCTCAGCACGTGACATTACTTGGCCAATCAGTGCTGCGGGGAATTTAGTGCGCATAGTAGGCCACAGCTGTCGTAGTTGCACGTCGTGTGGTTTCTTTCTCAGTATTTTTTTTCATGATTTTTCCTGTAATCAGGAAGAAGAAACGGAGAGTAGAGAGGTGAAAGTGGGGAGCGATGAGTAGCTCTCACACAAGGATGATTGACAGCACTAAGACCCTTCTCTTGGCTCTGATTGATTGTTTCAAGTTAGCACTGGGAGAAGGTGGAGTTCAATTGTTTTCATAGATGATCTGTCTCATGCTAAACTGTCACAACATGTTGACTGCAAAACCTGACACACCAACCTGTGCACGGCTTGGATTGATTACAAGAAAGCCTATGAGTCAATGCCGCATACTTGGATCATTGAATGCTTAGAGATGTACAACATCAACAGGACTCTGGGAGTCTTCATTGCAAACTTGATGAGGCTATGGAAAAACACCCTTGAAGCCAACTGCAAACCACTTGCACAAGTGTCCATCAAATGTGGCAAATACCAAGGAATGCTCTGTCCCCGCTGCTGTTCTGCATAGGCCTGAACCCCCTCATCAACAATCCTGGCTACGGATACCGACTCAAGAATGGGGCCAACATCAGTCACCTTCTCTTCATGGATGACATCAAGCTGTACGCCAAGAGTGAGCAAGACATCGACTCACTGATCCAGGATCTACAGCACGGACATTGGGATTTTACGCATGCTTCTTTTTTTTTTTTTTTTTGCAAAGACTGACTCACCTATCGCATCAAGAATCCATCCGACTGTGCCGTCTCCACCACAAACCAGGATTCTGTAATCCTGCAGGTTTCTGAAGAAACTCAATCTGAAATCCAGATGATGATGTGAATCATCAGAGGCCGACAGAGAAGCAAAGAATTGTACTAAAGTAGGAGGAGCAATACTTCAACATGTTTCGTCATGTAAAAGTAAAAAGTGGAGAAATTACTCGAGTAAAAAAGTATTTGACAAAAAGGGTGCAGACATACTGATTAACTAATTAAAACATCAGTCATTTAATATTTAAAAATTACATAGATGGAAATTACCAAAATGAAAATAATTCACAAAAATAACAGATTTCTCCAAATAATTTTCTTTTGATTTAAAACTTATGAAACTTTAACAAAAACTGCAGGTGTGTCTTTATTATTGGTTAAAACATGTTTGTTTTTCATTTTACTCACATAAGAGTAGCAACACTTCATCATAAAATTACTCAAGTAAAAAGTGCAGCATACTCAAACATTTTTCCAAAATGTTGCTAAAGTAGAAGTTGCTATTTACGACCAAACTCTGTGAACCAACATGAGGGCCTGATGGCGGCGGACGCCACTGCAGGTTGTAGACCTGCCTCGGATTCAGTAAATACTGAAACTTACTCAGGACTCTGAAATATATGGAAACACGGTCAGCGATGTCCTCATTCGGAGATTTTCCAATTGGATTGTTTACCGTAGTGTAAATGTAACAAATGTTTCAAACCGAGTCTACTGAACTATCGGTTGTGTTAACACCCAAAATGTCTCTTTAGCCCAAAGTTAATGTTGGACAACTGGAGAAAACCCAGAGCAGAAAAATGTACAGTGACCAGAAATAGGCAGAAAACTGATCTCATTCTTGGAAAGAGTAGAAGAAGAAATGTCAGGCACTTGAAAATCAGTGACTTAATCTTCAAGTAGAGGCAAAATGAGGAGAGCAAACCGTTTTCGGAGAGATGAGCTCAGCAGTTATTTTTAAAACTGCAAGTACAAAAATTAGCTAAAGATGAGATCTGAAGGCGATTTTAGATTTCTTATATTTTATGCTCATGATTGTAATGTATTTGAAGATTTAGATTACTGTGTTGCTGCATAACCAAAGCATGTTTGAGGTTATAGTCTTGTTTTGATGGCCAGCCATGGTTCTGCCTTTACACCTGACCCTCAGCCCCTTACACTACTTGTCTAACTGTCTGTACAATTTTCTTTTTCTAACATGCAGTCTTAGTTTTATACTCGATGTAATTGAATCCACACTTTCCAAAAAGTCCCTCCTTAGTTTTCTTAGTCATCTTAACATTTTCCACCAAAAAACCTTTTGGGAATTAGAAAGACATTTTATTGGAGAGTTTCAGATGGGCCTTTGTGTTCTTTTTAATCAGCATAAGATTTTCCCTTCATACTTTCCCATGGATGTAGTATTTGCTCAGTTCACGGTTGATCCAATCACAGCAAGTCATTATAAAGCAGCAATGCAACCCCAAACCATCACTGCTACCACATTTGCCTGCTAGTAGGTGTTATTTATCTGAAAGTCTGTTGTAGTTTTGTGCCAGATGTAATAAGAAACCCACCTTCCAGAAAGATCCACTGTGTTGCATTTGGGCAAATGTGATCTTTTTTTGTCCAAAATGACTTTGGTCTTTAAACTCTTCCATGGAGGCCATTAAACCCTACCATTTTTAGGAAGGAAATATTACTGATTGTTCCACAATGATGAAATACAAGCGCAAATTAAAGGTAACTAAAAGCATACATGTTCATTAAAAGGTTAAAGACATATGAGTAGAGGAAATAGACTTTAGAGTAAGGGCAAATTTACAACATGAATCATACAGTTGAGTTTAGATTAAACAAAATGTGAAACTGCATAGGGTAATTTAAGGAAAAGAAAACATTTACAAGATCTGCATTTACATTTGTGCATATAAAAAACTATTTACAAAAAGTGAAAAAACTCCAAACAAAATCCGGAATGTGGATGCTTATTCAGTTTCTTGGGAGCAGTAATGGTAAAAAAAAAAAAAAAAAAAAAAAACTTTCTAGGAGGAGGATCTGCGATAACACTCCTTTGTGCTCGTAGGATGCATCAGCCTTTCACTGACGAAGCTCTTCAGTCTATTTTACATGTAAATCTGCATTAACCATCTGTTTAATCAAATTTATATCATTCTTGAATTGTGGTTGAGGGTCACAAATACTCTCAACCACAGGCCAAACTTTAGACGGCCCTTTTTAAAGGCATCAATAAAGGTGACAAGTACTGTACCACCTGTGATTTTGTAAAAACAAAACAAAAAACATGTACTTCTTAACATGAGACTGTAAATATACTCTAAGTTGGATTTGTCTGTATTAAATGATGCCACTCCCTTTGAAAGTGCATTACTTATGTTGGTCAGCAGTGCCAATGAATGCTGTCAACGCTAGATAGCCAAATGTCAATAAAGTGCAAGTTTTACCCCACAGAAGGACTTTCCAGTGAAGCCATTGGAAGGTCATCACAATATATATGGAGATGGTTGACAGAAAGACAGTTCATTAGTTAAAATGTTAAGATTGGCTGCTTATATAGTTTGGAGACATCCAAAAAAACCACATAATGTTTGAGGGCTAAATCAAAGTTTCAAGTCAGGAATGCACGTGCAGAAAATACAGAAGGTTTCTGTGGTGAAAGAGGACAGATGTGACAGAGGTGTTTTCTGGAGCTGGAGGCAACTCCTTAAGAGAGCGGCCAAAGGAAGAAGTAGTAAATGTTTTTGTCAAAAAGTGGAACAATGAACAGCAGCAGATGGTGAGCTGTGACCTGAACATAATGGAGCCAGTCTGAAAGGACAGGAAGAGACTGACTGAATCCACTGATATGTTTGACAAATCACACGAAAGACTCAGTCAGTTTGGTGGTTCTTTCAAACTCATCATTATTATGAATTTTTAAAATATCTTCAATAAAATAATACACAAAACAAAGTCATGTCAAATTGCAGGAAGTCTTGTACATATTTATTATACTTTATATTTATATTTATTATATATTTTGTTCACATTATGATGTGTTTAAGCCAACCGACTGCATTGCAACTGAACAACATGTCTGTGGTTGTTCTGCTGCTACCCGGCAGATGTTTCCAACCGTTTGTGAGGAACAACCAATCAAACTTCCCACTCTGGCTATTTAAACAACGAGTCCCGGCCAGCCTCTGAGGTGTCACCTGCTCCAGATCCATCCGCGAGAATGTAAACATATAACATCTTCTTTTATTATTCAAATGACTTGTATCCCAATCCGCGTGCTTTAATTACCTCTCTTTGTGAATCGATGCGCCATTGCTGGGTGCTGTCACCGGCTGCAGGTTCAGGTTATTGGCGAAGTGGAGGAAAAGTTGGGAGTCGTTACATCTGCTGGTGTGTTACATAGATTTTACACTCATGAAAAGGCGTCGCCTGGTTGGCTGATCGTGCAATGACGAAAATCAAGAATCCACAAGAAACATTCCACCATCCAACTGTATCCAAGTAAAAAAAAAAATAAATCCGTGTAAAAATATTCATCTGAAATTCTAAGGTCATAAGAACACATCTTGAGGGATGTACATGTGAAAGTGAAAGTAGAGTAAGGCCACTATGCATAATTCCAATTAAACATATTTTTTATTACTCAGTGATAAAGCCACTGGACTAATTCAGAATAAAAAACATTTTTATTATTACTGACTCATTTACATGTGGTTTATGTGTACATATAGAGGGCCTACTACTGCATTATTGAATGATTTGGTGTTAGTTTAATATATATGATCCCAGGTGAGATACAGGTTGAATACCACAGTGAAACATGGTGGTGGTAGCATCATGCTGTGGGAATGTTTTATAACAGGGATAGGAAACCAGTTTTCATATCAGAGTTGATGTGAAGATAGACAAAGCCTCTAATAAATTAAAATATCACAGAAAAGTTCAAAATATTTCAGTGACTCAATTTAATAAGTGAAACACATCACAGGTTAATTAAACATAAAGATGCTTTCATACCTTTATTTTTCTTAATTATGATGATCTTCTGCTTACAGTTCATGAAAATATCCATATTTAAAATAATATTACATAAAGTCATGAACTCCTGCACTTAATCTATGTTTACAGAAACTCCAAACAATCTAACTTGGGCCAGAAAAATGTACACCACACTTTTAAGATTTTCCTCTTTTTAAATGTGAAAAGGACAAAACAAGGCGCTCAGTATTAGTGAAGAATGCTGATAATGAAATAAGAGAAGTGTTCAAACTGTTTTCCTATGGTTGGGTGGATTTCAAACTAAAACAACTTTAATTTCATTGTTATTAGCTAGTTATTTTTAACTGATTTTAATACCTTATTTAATCAGACGTTGTTTTGAAATAATATTTTTATTTGTAGCTTTTCAGGACTTTGTAACTGACTCGTTTTTTCACGTTTTGGGTGTTGCCTAATGCATTACGAACCTACTAAAAAAAACTTAATTTCACCGCACTTCTACCAAACAACTGGATGGATTATTTTCCATTAATACTATTTACAACAAATAAAGTCAAAAATCTTTCAAGGAAGTTTATTACAAAACAATTAAACGCCTGTATAGAGCAGTTATGACAGCGCCAGACTGCAGAGAGTGATGTATCTGCCGAGGATCACGTAGAACAGTGCGGTGTCTAGTTTTTTAGGCGGACGTGCTCACTGCCTTGGAACATTCTCTCCACTGTGCGTGGATGTGTGTGTGTGTGTTTCGGTTAGATGTGTGTGAGAGTGTAATCTGCCTCCTCTCGTGTTGATGTCGACGCGCTGCAGGCCGACTGTGACTGGTGAATAACCGGAACAAAAATTTAAAAAAAGGAAAAAAAAAAAAAAAAAAAAAGAGCAAAAACAAAAAACAAAAACAAAACACCTTCAGCCCGACCGCAGCACGCCGATCCCCTGAGTCACAACTCCGCTGGGTCCCGAACGACCATGAGCCTGCCTCGGCCGGACGAGTTCAAGCCTCCCCCGGAGTGCCCGGTCTTCGAGCCCAGCTGGGAAGAATTTCGAGATCCGTATGCTTTCATCAACAAGATCCGGCCCATTGCAGAGAGGACGGGGATCTGCAAAGTCCGGCCGCCGCCGGTGAGTGCGCCGAGTTGTTTTATTCGGCTTCTGGGGGCGCAGATGCTGAGTTAGTTCGGCTTTAGATGGACCGAGCGCTAGGATTTAAAGGGACTGTTCAACATGGCGGATACACACCGCGGTCCTCATTCTTTGTGCTGCAAGCGTTAGCTTCTTCTCATTTACCCTGTCCTAACCCAGACATACTGCTCTAGTTGAGGTGTACTAGCAGTCGTGTGTTTGTTTCGGGGTGTTAAATCCGGGTTATAGTCGGAGTAAAGCCTCGGTGGTGGTCCGGTCATTGATCCTCTCTGCTGGCAGGCTAACCTTAGCTATACCTGTCATAATGAGGCTATCAGCTTTGACACCAGCAGCTATGCGGAAGCTATTCGGCTCCTGGAAGCACAACAAGAAAATGCGGATGATAAAAATAAAATAAATGACATTTCGCTTCATCTTTTACCGTGTTTGTCCTTTTAATGGCCCTAAAGCCACGAAGCTGACTTTCATAGTTATTAATTTATTTAGTTGAAGAGCATCCACAGAGTGAGTCCCATCACTTTCATGGTCACTTTCGAATAAAAACCCGACGTACAGTGAGTTTAATGTTTAATTCACACGTTAATATATACATAAATTTAACTGTTTTGCAAGATGTTCTTGTTAAGTATGGATTTTTAAAAAGTGGAGGAAAAAAGTCCTTCCTACTAAATCAAGTTATGACCTTTGAAGTATTGCTAAAAACGCAATATTGCTAAACATTTTATTGATGCAGGCTATGATAATATGAGCAGCCACATAATCAGGCAGGGTTCATGTATGAGCCTGTGTTGAAGGGTGTTGTCCTCCATGTTGGCTTTGTGGTAAGCTGGACTATTGAGTTGAGTCTTCCATCTGGCCATTTTGTCTGTCAGTGGGGGATGTTGGCCACAGACTTAAAGCAAAGAACTTGGGGTTCTTTGGGTGTTTTTGACACTGTGTTGTTATTGTTTTGATTTAAAAAGAAGTGTTTACATTACGAAATGATCTACAGGGTTGTGAAAAAGTGTGTCCTCCCATACAGACTTCTTAAGTTTTTATTGTTTTTGTTCCACTTACGCAGACTTTAACACCAGTCGAAGATCAGCTGAGTAAATAAAACATGTGGGTTTTCAAGTTAAGCTAGATGAACCATTCTGAGACTTTGTGAAAAAATCAGTCACCGATCCAAATAATCTGGTGACAACTATGTAGAAGAATATTGCCCATTTCTTTTTTCGTGAATTGTCTTAATTTAGCCGCACCGGAAAGTTTTAAAGCATGAACAACTTGTTTAAAATCATGGCATAGCATCTCGAGCAGATATAAGTCTGCGATTTGACTCAGCTGCTACACAAGTTTAGCTACTTTTTTGTTTAGCCGTTCAGTGCTAGTCCTGGCCGTGTGCTTTTAATCATTGTTCTGCTGCATAAATCAAGTAAGAGGTGAGAAAATGACCCAAAAACTGTACTCAAGTAAGAACAGCCTTTTGTTTTTGACCAGAACAGTCTTTATGACATTACATTTTGTAAAATAAAGTGAATGTGAACGGAAGCAGCTGGAAGTCTCACTTTTCAACAAGCAGAGGTGAACAAAGTGCCCAAAAACTGTACTCAAATAAGAGAACCACTACTTCCACATAGTTTTACTCAAGTAAAGGTAAAACGTAGCATTCAAGAAAATATTCAGGTAAGAGCGAGAGAGTAATTAGTAAAATAAAATTTTCATTTCAAATGTAATGTGTACTTGAGGTGACCTTGATTGTAGAGAAAGTCATCTATAAATTAAGTTTATTGTTATTACTGTTATTATTAACTGGTCATTGCATTTGATGTGATACTTAAATTATGTCATCAGAAAGAAACTTTTGTAGTTATGTGTACATTCTGATGTCTTAAAGCCTAAAGGGAAAAAAATACAGATAACTATTACAAATAAACAGATTCAAGCTGAATAAACACTTTTACAAATAAATATATTTCAGTATAAAACTTCTGAAACTAATATTGACAGTATGTAATGCATATTTATGTTCCAATGGGGTAAAATACTTCCAGTTTTCACTTGACCTCTAAATAACATTTGGATAACAAAGCTTGTGTACAAACAGGAGGTCTCACTTTAACATAAACAGTAGGTCTGCATCTGGTGCATTTTTAGGTTGAATATGTTTATTCTTCATTCAGTGAAGTTACTGAGTATCCTGAGATTTTACTCAATTAACTATTAATTCTTCATAATAATATTAATAAAGTAAAAGTAAAAAGTACATAGAAGTAAAATGTCTCTTAAAAGTATTTTTTTCCCCAAATACTTCTGCTTAAGGTTAGTAAGGTTTTCCCATAGCAAGTCATTACACTTGATAGTCCCAGAGGATTACACTACCACCACCTCATGGTGGTGGTAGTGTTTCTGAAATATTGTTAGTTTTATTCCACATTTAATGGGATGCAAACTTTTGAGAAAGTTTTACTTTTGTCTCATCAGTCCATTACAATTATTCCCTGGACTCCAGCAGGTGTCCTCTCTCTTATTGTTAAGTCATGAACTCTGACCGAGGCTGGTGAGGCCTGCACTGTTTTTTTAGATGTAGTTTGGCGTTCTTTTGCGACTTCCCGTTTGAGTCGATGATTGCTTTCGGAGCAGTTTTTATAGGCTGGCCACCACCGCTAGAAGGGTTTTGTGTTTCTTTTATTTGTCGATAATGACTCTCACTGAGAATCACTGGAGCTCTAAAACCTTAGAAACGACCTTTTGATCTTCCCCAGACAATCATCTGCTCTTAAATCTGTTTAGATTGGGGCACGCTTCTTGACGTCTTTTAGCCTGCTTTATGTTTCTAAATAGGTTCTATTAAGTAATTTCCTAAATGTACACACTTAATCCTAATCAGGCTTGTTTTATTCATATAGTTTTAGTCATTTTAATTGATGAAATTCTGTTTTAAAAACTGCACTTTGGTTATGTTTGTTTAATGGTTTGGACAAGTTGGCAGAAACAAAGTGTGTTAGGTGTTTAGTACTGTATATGTTCTCTATCAGCTGAAATAACCAATAAACTATCCATATTTTTATCTATACAATTATTTAAATCCAAAACTAGAGTTAGAGTTCTGTGCAACATTCCTTTAAGTTTGCAATTCAGAGCAAATTCAAAAGTTGCCTCTTTCTTAATAGATAAAATATATTTAAGCAATAGTTGTGTTTGTTTACACCTTGGGCTGGGCGTAAAGATGAAAGGCTGAATCCCATCTGCAGGCTGCCGGTTATCATGACCTCCATGTTCCTTTATGTGTCATTGTTGCTCTTCAGGACTGGCAGCCACCATTTGCCTGCGATGTTGACAAGCTTCACTTTGTCCCTCGCATCCAGCGGCTCAATGAGCTGGAGGTGAGTTTTGTTTATCAGTTTATATATTAGAATATATATCAAATGTGATTTTACTATTATCTGTCTCTCCATCTTTTTGATTTTTATTCATTTGTTTATTTTTAGATTTCAGGTACTTTAAGAATGCTTTTTAGCATAAGGTAACATTTTTTGGTAAGAGGATAATGCTTTTTAATTAAAAAAATAGACTTTAGGTCAGTGGTTTCCAAAGATTTTCTGGCCCAGTGCCCAGTTGATTATTAGAAAATAATCAACTGGGCACACATATTGTTCAACCAGACATAAACATATACACATTGAAGTTTATGTCATACTTCAGGTTGCAACAAAACAAACCATAAAAACAGTCCATAAATAACCATAAATACATATTGATTTTTGTTTGTTGATAGGCACAGACGAGGGTCAAGCTCAATTTTTTGGACCAGATTGCCAAATTTTGGGATTTGCAGGGATGTACCCTGAAGATCCCTCATGTGGAGAGGAAGATCCTGGACTTATATAAGCTAAACAAGGTGCATTATTCCACCTCTCATTTTTCACAGACAGATATATATCTCATAGAGTTCAGAAACAGACACCGGTGACGTGACTTTCTGCTGTTTCAGCTCGTTGCAGATGAGGGGGGATTTGACATCGTCTGCCAGGACAGGCGGTGGACCAAGATTGCAGTTCAAATGGGCTTCTCTCCCGGCAAAGCCGTCGGCTCACACCTGCGAGGCCATTATGAAAGAATCCTCTATCCCTACAATCTGTTTCAGAGCGGAGCTAACCTGCTGGTGAGTCGCACGCATGTATCGGCATGACAGCAATCTGCAGTCATCATCTGAAACGATGCTGTTTGTATAAAAAAAAAAAAACAAAACGAGCAGAATCCAAACTGTTGTGCAAAAGATTTGTGTGTGATTTGCTTTGGAGAGAAATATGTGATATCGTTTTTTTTTTTAAGATCATTTTGAATTTTGCATTTCTAAGTTTTTGGTTTGTTGCTAAAAGTGTGGATGTTTAGTCAAGAAGGCTCCGACTGCAGAGGTCTACCATTCACCTAACTTCTCATCTCCCTGCACTCTCATTGTGACCCTCAGATAAATTTAAGAAGTTAGATTTAATTTCATTTTAAACCTAAAATACAGTTTTTAAATTCTAGTCTGATTTATGTATAGGGTGCTTGAAGGAGTTTGAATGCCACTTTATTTTTTCAAGGTTTTTAAGGTGCTTGATTTCTGTATAAATCCTTGAAAGTGCTTCAAATTCAGACTGCACAGTTTTGTACTAAAGTGTAATCTTACGTTTGATTAAAAGTCTAAATTTGGAAAACATTACTTAGAGTTGAGACCAGATATTTTCATACATGTAATATGAATGTCTGAAGTTAAGTCAGACTTAGCTTCTCTTGTTTTGATGGTCAGTTAAAAAAGAGTTAAAATGGTCACAATAAATCAATTAATTACATGATGAAAGTTTTGTTTATTTATTTAGGGTATTTAAAATGTTGTCCACTTCCAGTGTTAAATCTCCTGTTGTAAAATCTGTTTAATATGTCTTTTAATCATCCTATCTAAAAATCTGCTTCCTACCATAATTTTTGTCCAGCATTTTATGTATCAACATTATGCGACACATAAAGGCAATCTGTGGCATAAATTTAATGTGACAGAATTCAAAGTGCTTTTTTTTCTTCTCTGTATAAATATTATTAGTTCAGAGTGCAGGAACTAGTACTCTCTGCCGCTGGAGCCTCTTGTTACAGTTTAGTGTCTTGTCATGACTTTAACTTCATTTGCACCGTAAAAAACAAAGAGAGTTTCTGTGATACTTGACTTGAATTGGTTCTGTGTGGCTGCACGGACAGGTCACTCTAACATGTTTTACTACCAAAGCTCTCTTTTGCCTCAGGCACAAGAACCAGCTTCCAAACTGATGCGTTTGGAGGCTGATCCTGACCTTGAAAAGGTACGATTGAGTGACGATTACAAAGACGCTAAAGCTTGAAATGCATGTCCTGTGTGGCTGTTACCAGCAGCCACTGTGGTTTTGTTTCTGTGCCAGGCAGAAATAAGGTCAGAAGTTAAAACTTTGTGCAGTTCTTTACTCTTAGAAAGACAGGAGGAGGAGGAGTACTGTTTCAAAGCACAAAAAGATGCTGACGCTGAAATATCAGTTAATATAAAATCAATTCATTTGTCCACCTACTGTCTGAACCCACAGAAGAGCTGGTGCCTGAAATGTATAATGACTTGCAAAAGTATTCACATCTGTTGAACTTCTCATGTTTCAGCCGCAAACTTCAGTGTGTTTTAATGCAGTGATGGGACTTGATTACATTTTTTAGTTAATTGCATCTTAATTGAAATACAGTTCTGAAAAAAGAAGAGACTATTTAAACTGATCTGTTTCTCTTTATAGGTGAAGGTTTGAGTCAAATGAACATTGGTCTTTTATTCTATGAACTACTGACAGCATGTCTGTGAAATTTATTTGCAGAATATGAGAAATGGGGGAAATAACAAAAAAGATACAGTGCTTTCAGACCTCAAATAAAGTTCATATTCATTTAGAAACAACAATATTAATGTTTTAACTCAGGAACAGTTCAGAAATCAATATTTGGTGGAAAAACCAAGAGGTTTTCAATGGGTTTCAGTGCAGTGGGCTTTTAATTTTTTTCCAGAGCTGCATATCAATAAAATTAACATTTTAAATTACAAAAAGCCTTTTGTCAACTAAATTATTGAGTACATACACATGTAGGGTCAACAATAAAATATATTTGTTGATCTTTATCTGTCATTTCGCTTATTCAACCATCAGATTGGCGCATTCAGCAGTTTCTGGAATCCCTGATCATCATACAGAGCAAAAAATACTAAATCTTACTCAGTATTTTTGTCTAGTTTCTAGTACAAATGTTAGTTTTGTCTTATTTCAAATGTGCTAACTTAGAAGTAACTTTTCAGTAAGATATAGGAGCTTGTTTTAAATAACTAAGTCCTTAATATTATTGAAAACATTATGACACTTGTAACAAGTCATTTTCCCATGTTGTAAGTGAAATAATCTGCCAATCGAACAAATACTTTTTCATCAATATGAAGGAATTATTTACTTAAAACAAACGCCTATATTTTGCTGAAAAGTTGCTTTTATTAGTTTCTTATTTTAAATTTACTAAGATATTTACACCAGACACCAGACCAAAAATTAAAAAAATTAATTTTGTGTTTTTTCCAGTTTGTAACATAGTACTTATATAATTATTACTTAAAATACATTGAACTCCTAAGTTGTGAAGTCACAAAATGTGAAAAACTTAAGCTGTGTGAATCCTTTGTTTTTGCTGCTTTTTTATTTTATTTTTTTCCAGAAGTTAATATCTCATCTTGTTTGGCTGAGTGTTGTTTGAACCATTTGTCCTCCAATGTTACTTATTAAACTTGAAAAGTTAAATACTGGGTGAACCGGGCCTCAGCTCATGCCTGATATAATTTTAGATTTGACATATTTGTCTTGTTTAAGGTGACAAACTCTCATTAGCCACATCCTTCTTTTGGCCTTATTGTCTTCTGGCTTCACAGCAAAATACCATGTAATACATTTCACCTACATTTAGTACCTGATATGAGAAGCGACATGGCTTTCAAATAAAATCTCCAATCTTTTAAATCACTTTCCATACTGGCAGATTATTTCTATTATAAAAAGACAATTTTTTAATGTTATAAATGAAGTAATCTTCCAGTGGAACTAGTACTTTTCCATCAATATTAAGGAATTTTTTTCTCTTAAAACAAGCTCTTATTTCTTGCTGAAAGGTTACGTGTAAATTAGTTTTGAATTATTTCAAGTGTATTAAGACAGTTGAACTAGAAACCTGACCTAAACTTCTTGGTAGGATTTTGTGCTTTTGCAATGGATAGACTCACATTAGCGATATCCTTCAGGCCTGTAACCCGTTCTGTCCATATTTATAACTTCCTCATGTCTGTGTTTGCAGGTATTTCCTGTCAAACATGCAAATTCCTGCTAATAGCCAGCAGGTTTGGGTTTCAAATTAACTTTGTTTCCCTCAGTGTGTCCAGAAACCCGACCAGTCGGCAGAGAAGATGAGCGACGACGAGCCCAAGCTGCAGGAGCCGATTCAGAGAGCGCCGGCCCCCCCGCCTGATGTTTGCCCCAGCGCTCGCCGAGCCAAGCGCATGAAGATTGAGGTGAGAGTCGCTGCGGCTTCACTTTTCACCGCAGGTTCCAAGAATAGCTTCTCAGAGTTTTTTACAGTTTGAGGTTGCCTCTAGTTTCACTTCTTGTTCTCTGCTGGTGCAGACTACCTGTGTGAAGACTGAGCCAGGTGAGATGGGGGATAGCAAGCCCAATCTGAGGAGGAGGATGGGCTCTATTGTCGTAAAGCAAGAACCAGGTCAGACTCTTCATCTCAGACAGCAAAAAGAAAAGCATGTAACTGATTTAAAACTGCAGTAATTAACAGTTATACATAAAAATATGTACTTTACACGTTTGTCAAAACTGTCATCATGTCATGAGACAAATAAGCTCCTCTGCCTGCTCCCAGTGCTCCCAGTGCATTCTAGATTTACTATAGTCTGTCATGGATGCTACTGCTAGTTAGCATAGCCACTGATGATGTCAGATAAACAGTTTACCTGTAACTGTTAGTTGTTTCTCCACCATTAGCACAATTAGCAACGACTACATGAGTGTTATTGACAGCGCTAAGACCCTCCTCTTTGCTTTGATTGGTATTTTTGGTCGGGAGGGGAGCATTTCTCGATCTTTTCGCAGATTATCTGTATCATGTTAAACTGTTACGACATGGTGACACTTTTAACAAATATGCAGAAAAAAAATCGATAAAAATTACCTACAGTGATATTCAATTAATTTGATTATTTAATAGTAACTCCATCACAAAGTGAAACACATAATATAGATAAATTACTTATTTTTGATGATTTTTCTGCTTCCATCTAATGAAACTTCAACATTTAAGATCAAAATATTATACAAATAAAAAAGTAAATACATAAACTTATTAAAAAATGTTTAATACTTGCTTGAAGGTTGTTATTTTAATCTCACAATCGAGCCACATCAAAATCGATATTCTGACTTATTAGCAGGTGCTTGAAATCCTTGAAAATGCTTGAATTTAAATTAGGTGTTTTCAAGGTTTGGAAAGTGTTTGATTTATCTTTAAAGTCCTTGAAACTGCAGAGTTTTATAATACAATGCAATTAAACGTTTGATTAAAAGCCTAAATTTGGAAAACCTCACAGTTCAGATATTTTCATACACTGAATTAAAAGACTGACATCTTTCTTTTCACTCTCTAAAGTTAAATCAGTTTAAACTTCTCTTTTTTAGGTCAGCTATAATATCCAAAATTATTTCTGTTTGCTAAATTCCAGAAAACTTAGAAAGATTTTTTTTATTATTTTTATTTTAACCATTTTTCTATTGTGTTTAAACATTTAATTTGAGCAGCCAGATCCTTTACCTTAACACTTTTTGTAAATATTATTAGTGTAATAAAAATGTTTTCTTCCTAATTATAATTTAAATTACGTTATCCCTGCTGCAGAAATAATAACAATGATAAATGTTATATAAAAGTGAATTTAAACTGTCTCATTTAGCTCATTTGTATTGCTTTTATCTCCATGGTTTGGTGCTGGAAAAGTTTGAAAACTTACCGTTAAAGAGCTTGAATTGTACTGTGGGGAAAGTGTCTGAACCCAGGACTAAATATGATTATATTTTACAAGAACATTCAGAAATGACTGACATCGAACTTCCAAAATGTAACAGAATCAGTATAATTTACTATGAAATAGACATACACACTAAGAAAGTACATCTGAAGAACTTTTTATCAGATTTTAAGTTATAGCTTGCAAATGAAGAACAAAAGTCAATTAAAGTTACAAAGCTGCTCTTTGTAACGTTGAGTTTTCTTACTGCTTTGCAGAAAAACCGATTCCCATTTTAGTAAAACAAGAACCAGTCGAGTTTAAGGAACCAATAATCGAAGCAGACAAATTCAAGTCCCGCTACAAGAAGATGATTCCTCTCGTTCCTCTGAGTCCAGTAAGTAGAAACATCCTCAGCCTTGGGAAGTTCAATCGCTGAATAATTGATGGTGGCGAAAGCTTCATTTGATTCACTATGATTCCTCTATAGATGTACATATTCTGTCATAGTTTCCAGAGCTCAGAGATTCAACAACTGGTTTGAAAATGGAAATGTCACATTTAAAATGATGGATAAAAAGCCAATCATCATTGTGCCATTATTAAATGGGAACTATTGTGCAAAATTCCCTTTTTGGATGTTTTTTTATTTGGGTCTTTGTTGCTTCTACAGTCAGTCAAAACAATTTTCTTTTGATTTCTGGAAAACCAGCCGTTTCAAAAACCTCCCAGTAATGACATCACAGTCAGTGGGTGCTGAGCTCCGCCCACTTCATTATTAGAAGACAACCATGTTTGGTTAGCTGGTTTTAGCCCCATATGGGAAAACAGCGTGCTTTATAGTTTCTGAACGATATTTATCATTCAGAAACTGCTGCTGCTGCTTCCTTTATGGTTCCACTTCTTTGATCCTACCAAGAAAAGTCCAGAAATGTTCAGAACTTAAGTATTTTCCAGAACCATCCATCCATCAGACATCCATCCATCATCCGTCCATCTAGCCATCTGTCCGTCCGTTTATTCACGTGTACTTTGAACACATGATGAATTACATGCAGATCTCTTAAAATCAGCTCATTGTGCAGCTGATCTCCTCAGTTGTTGAAGAGAATTTCCATTTGAAAACAAAGTGAGACGTTTCAAGCCTTCCGACTTTAAGCTGCTGTGGATCTGAATGGACCAAAGAAAACTCTGTAATGTCTCGTGTCTGAAGAGCCTGCTTAAAGTTCAGCAGACGTTTCTTTTTTGTTGTTGTTGTTTTCAGTTGATGTATCTGCCTTTGTCTCCCAGGTGGATCTGGTAGTGTGTCTGGTATGTGGGAGCGGAGCCGACGAGGACCGGCTGCTGCTGTGTGACGGCTGTGACGACAGCTACCACACCTTCTGTCTGATCCCCCCGCTGCACGACGTCCCCAAAGGAGACTGGCGGTGCCCCAAGTGTCTGGCTCAGGTGACACAAACAGCACAGGATGTCGACACTGTTTTTACAGAACAGTCCTGAAACAAAGGGGGAAAATAAGATAAGGTTACTTTATTATATGGCAACATGTTTATATGTTAGAGGCAAAAGTAATAAAGGACCAACTGATGTAATTTGAAGAAAGATATTTGATTTTAAAAAATGCAGGTTTTAGTTGTTTTTCCAGATATTTTTGATGGAATAATTTCACTATATATTCTCAAAAGAATGACTCCAAAACAACCAGTACTACTTATTTAGATCTTTTTTGAAACTGTGTGTTTTTCAGAATCAGTCTTAGTTTATAGTTCAAAATTTTGAGGCAAACAAAAATTTTGACTTTGACTTCAAGCGCTTACAGCGTACTGACTGCACAGTTTTGTTATCAAGTCCATTGTTTGAATAGCCTAAATTTTGAGGGCGTTACTTACAGTTTTCATATATTTAATGAAAAAACACTTTTTCACAAGACGTGATTAAGAAACAGTGTAATCCAAAAGTGTAATGCTGGAAATTCTCAAAGCTTAACTTGAAAATGTTTGAAAAGTTCTTGAATTTTACTGAGGAAAAAGTGAACGAACGTTGATTCAGCCTTAGTTTCACTGCAAAAACACAAAATTATACCAAGTATTTTTGGTCTAGTTTCTCATGCAAATATCTTATTGCACTCAAAATAAGACAAAATAACTTTCAAGTAACTTTCCAGCAAAATATAGGAGCTTGTTTTGAAGTTAATGATTCCTAAGTATTGATAAAACGTATTGAACAAATCAACTAATTATTTCACTTACAAGACAGTTTTTCTTCAATGTTAAGAAATTATTGACTTAAAACAAAGTTCTATATCTTCCTAAAAAGTTACATGTAAGACGCTTTTGTCTTATTTCAGGTGTAATAAAATATATGCACTAGAAACCAGACCAAAAGTACTTGGTGACATTTTGTGTTTTTGCAGCATGGAATTTCAATCGTATTCTAAGAGGCATTGAAAATCTTAAAGTTTTGATATTGCTGTGTTAGATATTTACGATGTAAACATAAAACTGGTATTTAATTGCACCTGCAGGAATGCAGCAAACCTCACGAGGCGTTCGGGTTTGAACAGGCACACAGGGACTATTCTCTGCGTGCGTTCGGCCAAATGGCAGATGCGTTCAAATCTGACTACTTCAACATGCCGGTTCATGTAAGTCGTGTATTTTCCTATGTAAACATCCTCGTCTGTGTTGCTTTAAGCCTTTTTAAATTCAAATTTCATCCCTCTGGTGCTGGTGACAGATGGTACCCATGGAGCTGGTGGAGAAAGAGTTCTGGCGCCTGGTTGGAGCCATCGAGGAGGACGTTACCGTGGAGTACGGAGCTGATATCGCCTCCAAGGAGTTTGGGAGCGGATTCCCCATCCCAAATGGAAAATTTAAGGTTTCCCCAGCAGATGAGGTATTCTTTTTAAGTCAGAGGAATTGTGATCAGTTTTTATAGAATTTATCTGCTTTAATCCAATTTATTACGAAGAGGTGGACTTATTGCAACATCACATTGGATGTGTTTTTCGTCTTCTGCAGAAATACCTTAAATGTGGCTGGAATCTGAACAATCTGGCCATGATGAACCCATCGGTTCTGACTCATGTGACAGCTGACATCTGCGGGATGACGCTGCCCTGGCTCTATGTTGGCATGTGCTTCTCCTCATTCTGCTGGCACATTGAGGATCACTGGAGCTACTCCATCAACTACCTGCACTGGTACAAATACATGGAAACAGAAAAAAACACAAATACAGTTTGACGAAGGAAACTCAGAACTTTGCTGAAAACACAGATGTTGTTAAGACAAATTATCGAATTGTTTTTTTTCCCTGGATTCAAATATCTGAAAATACCCCAAATTAAACATTAAACCAAGTAATAATAATAATAACCCTTATTTAACCAAATAAAAAAATTATTGAGATGTACAATCTCTTCTTAAAGAGGGATCTGGTAGCACTGTTTAAAAGTATCAATAAAAAGAAATGAAATTTCAATCCTACCTTAACTGGACAGAAGATAGCACATTCCTGACACACTGCAAAATACAAAATGTCACTAAATATGTTTTCGTCTAGATTGTAGTTCATATATCTTAGTATATTTGACATAAAACAAAACTTAAGTACAAGTAACTTGTCAGCAAAAAATAAGAGGTCTTTTAAACTCAGTAATTTCCTCATTTTGATGAAAAATATCTTATTTTACTGATAACAAGACCTTGTCATGTCATGTTATAAGTGAACAAGTGGAACAAGTACTTTTTTATCAATATATTTAAAAAAATCACTGAAAGGTTACCTTTGTTTCATTTCTAGGGTACTGGCATATTTACACTTGAAATTAGACAGACAGTCTAACATTTTGTGTTTTTGCAGTGTTGTTTCCTTTATTTGTGATGCTGTTGTTCATTTTTAGGGGCGAACCGAAGACCTGGTATGGTGCTCCTGGCTTTGCTGCTGAGCAGCTGGAGAAGGTGATGAAAAAACTGGCTCCAGAGCTGTTTGAGTCCCAGCCGGACCTGCTGCATCAACTGGTCACCATCATGAATCCCAACACTCTGATGGCGCACGGCGTCCCGGTACCCGCTGCTTTACTCATCACCTCGGTCTGTTTCACATCTCTCGAATAAAAACCAACCACTTGTCTCTCTGCTGTAGATTTACAGAACCAACCAGTGCGCCGGTGAGTTCGTCATCACGTTTCCCAGAGCGTATCACAGCGGCTTTAATCAGGGCTTTAACTTCGCTGAGGCGGTCAACTTCTGCACCGTGGACTGGGTACGTAGCTTTACTCAGAAATACTTATTTTTTAAAAAATGGAACTAACAAAAGGAAAACATCAACTTTAAAGACAACATGGTGGATTTTCTGGAGTGGCCCAGTCAAAGTCAATCTGATAGAGAACATGTGTCGGGCCAAAACAAGAAAACAAAAAACAGAAAACCATCAATCAGTTATTCATGGCATGACTGTGTAACTTAGCAGCAGAAGTGGACAAACTACCCCAAAATTGTACTCAAGTAAAAGTATCATCAAATTTTACCCAAGTAAAAGTTAAAAGTGCAGTAAAGTAAAGTTAGTCTGAAAAGTACATCTTTTCCAAAAATAAATGTCAGTGAGTAAATGTAACTAGTTACTACCCATCTCTCTTTATTGGCTTATTTGAACGAGTTTTTTTATGGTTGTACATCCAGATGCCCCTGGGCAGGCAGTGTGTGGATCACTATCGTCTGCTGCATCGCTACAACGTCTTCTCCCACGATGAGATGGTGTGCAACATGGCCACCAAAGCAGAAACGCTCAATGTGGTTCTGGCCTCAGCCGTTCACAAGGACATGGCCCTCATGATCAAAGAGGAGCAGGAACTGAGGGACAAAGTCAAGAAAATGGTAAAGTGGTTCTCATTTACTAGAAAACTTACAGATTTTGTGCCAACAATTAATATTTCCTAAAATAAAAAATGTAAAAATCTTATTCTGTTGGGGTTTTTTAACACTATTAGGGGGTGGTGAACTGCAAGGAGGCAAAATATGATCACCTCCAAGATGATGAGCGTCAGTGTGCGAAGTGCAGGACCACCTGCTACCTTTCCGCCATCACCTGCCCCTGCAGCCCAGGTGTGCTGGTCTGTCTCTACCACATCAACAGCCTCTGCTCCTGCCCCGTCTCCAACTACACTCTCAAGTAAGAACTGCTGGAAAAGCTTCTTCTCTCTCAGCATTAGCATCTTCTTCAGGCGATCTATCCTCCTAATGAAACCGTTGCTTAGATAAGTGGGTTCCCAAACGTCTCGATGCTGCAGAAAATACCACAAAATATCTAAGCATCTACTTTTAGAATGTTTTTTTTCCCCCTTTTATTCACTTTTCAGTAATTATTTAATTCATTTAACGCACTTCAAAACACAAAATCTTACCAAGTGTTTTTGGTCAAGTTTTTAGTGCAAATATTTTAGTTTATTTGAAATTTGAAAAAACTTACTTGCACGTCTTTAGCAAGATTTAAGAGTTTGTTTTATGTCAATAATTCTTTAATGTAGATGAAAAAGTACCAGTTCATTCAATAATTAAAGGAAAAATGTGTTGTTATAAATTAAATAATCTCCCAGTAGAGCTAAACCTTTTTCATAAATATTGAAAGAATTACTTTCTTAAAACAAATGTGGAACAAAATTAATTATCTACAATATTAAAGATTACACCTAGACATGTATAAAATATTCTGATTTGTATAAGTTGTTTTTCTACACCTCTCTCCAAGCCAGCTGCACCTCGTAACTCATATTCACATAAGAACAGTTCTTCTTTATGTAGCTAAAAGGGAGGACAAGGCCAGCCACCTGCAAGGGAAGAGATAAACAGTTAACGCACCCCCACTATGGGAACAGGATGAAATGCTCAATTTCTTTATTTTTATGGGCATTTGAAACAACTCCCACTTCTTGTGTGCCAAGGAACTGTCTATGAATCTGTGATTGTTGCGGCCTCCCCAGAACACACCTAGAGTTTGCTATGAGTTTATCTGTCGTTCTCCACTTGCAAGTGATATTAAAAGTTTGCTCTCCTGCACATTTACTGTCTCAGTTTCGTCTCTAGAGTTGTTTCCAACTCAACACAAGCTATTATATAGTGCTAAAAATTTATTTACAAGTCAGTTTTGTCTTATTTCAATTCAATTAAGGTATTTGCACTTGCAACCAGATGAAAATACTTAGTAAGATTTTGTGTTTTTGCAGTGCATATGTGCTGCTTCATGCCTTCTGATTTTAGTTTTGATGAGTTTTGAGGTGGAAATATATTTAACAGGTTTGATTTATAATATATATTACATTTTTCCACCATAATCCCCTCTTTTGATTATTAAAAATATAGAATATTTTATATTCATCACATCAAATTTTATTTAATCTCCACGGTTCCTATGTTTTCTGCAGCAAGGCTGCTGAATGGTTCCTTCTGTCTTTTTTTTCTTTCCAGAAACTTTTCCATTTCAGGATTGAGAATCAGCTTCATCTATCTGATTGGCAGCCAATCAGATAGATGATCATGGCAAACAACATTCTAACAAGTTATTTAAATTATATTTTACAAATATGATAGAAAACCAGATTATATTTTATTTTTAAAAAGTCATTTAATTTCTATTTATCCTTTTTTGTTCTCATCTTAAATCCAACTCCCTGAGACCTCCCTAGCGCCCCCTGGTTGTTGCACTTTAAAAACCACTGCCACAGATATATATTTTCCTGTAAAAGTTGCCGCATCATGAATCTGCTGCAGTTGCAGAGCTAAATGTGGAATTGTGTTTGCTCCTGCAGCTACAGATACACTATGGATGACCTGTTCCCCATGATGAACGCCGTGAAGCAGCGAGCCGAGCTCTATGATGAATGGGCCTCTCGTGTCACTCAGACTCTGGAGGCCAAACTGGAGAAGAAAAAAGGTGAGTAAAACAAAATGTTACAAAAGTGAAGCAATAGTTTTAGATATTTTGGTTTGATATCTGTCGTTTGTCTAAATTAGCTGCATTTTTTTCCATGATGTATTCATGCTTTAAGAGGTTTCTTGGCTGGAGCTGGATTTGTGATAAAAACTAGGCATTTATTGTGTTTTCTTTTATTGTGATACATTTGTCATCGTAATAGGAATGTTGATTTATCATTTTTAACAATAAATTCCAATTAAGGATGTTTGAAGTCTCCCCCAAAAAAGGACAGTATTATCATGATTGTTAGTTGTACTACATTGCAAAATCTTGGTAAAATTTTGTGTTTATCTGTTTAGTACAACTAACAATCCTGGCAATTTTCATCAAGTTTCTACTCAAATATCTTTGTACACTTGAAATAAGACAAAACTAACTTAAATGTATTTTTTCAGTAAGAAGTAGGAGGTTGATTTAGGTCAATAATGCCTTAATATTGATGAAAAAGAATGAGTTAGAAGTGGAAGATATTTTTCCCATACTATAAGTTAAAATGTTTTGTTTCTCTGGCAGATTATTCCATTTTTAACTCGAACTCTTTCATCAGTTTTAATGAGTTATTACTTAAAACAAACTCTTATATCTTGATGAAAAATTACTTGTAAGTTAGTTTTGTCTTACTTCAAGAGTATTAAGATATTTGCACCAAAACCTAGACAAAAAAATGGTAAGATTTTGTGATTTTGCAGTGTTTTAATTCAATGAGAGTATTAATAAATATCAATTAATGTGAAAATGTGATTAAATGCAACTACTGTGTGCAGTTTAGTGATGCAGATCACAGTTGTTTTTAATGTAAATGATGTCCTTAAAAAACAATTTGCAAATGTGAATGTTTTTTAAGTATCAGTATTTTTGTTTGTTGGGCTATAATTCCTTTGTCATGCAGTCACAGCCACAAAGTTTCCTAAAAAATAAGTAATAAAGAGTTCTTATTGCCACTTTTATCCTCAAAATAGTCCCACAAAATATTGTGATAAAGTTTTTAGTCCATATTTCCAACCCTTAGCTGTGTTTCATTCCTCTGCTGAAAACATTTCAGTGTTGGGTTGTGAAGGCGTTAATCAGACGGCGTCTGACCCGTCGTTCTCTGCTCAGGTCTGCCCGTCTTTCGCTCTCTTCTCACTGAGTCAGAGACCAGACTGTTCCCCGACAACGACCTGCTGCGGCGGCTGCGGCTCGTCACACAGGACGCAGAGAAATGCGCCTCGGTGGCCCAGCAGCTGTTGAACGGCAAGAAGCAGACCAGGTAGCATTGTTACAAAAGTTACATTTGTTTGTAGGTGTTAGTTCCTCTGTGTTAGCGTCATTGAGGTGAGTCTCCTCGTTGTTCCAGGTATCGGTGCGGGAGTGGAAAGTCTCGCAGCCAGCTAACGGTGGAAGAGCTCAGCTCCTTTGTGAGGCAGCTGTACAACCTGTGCTGCAGCCTCCCGCAGGCACCTCAGCTCAAGGTACGGCAAGGAAAAGGAACATTTCATATTTTTTTTTACATAAATGTCACACATTCATTTTTTATTTAGGGAGTATATGTAATTGTTTTCAAAAACAATTGTGAAAAAAGAATCATTTTAGAACAAATCAAAACATTTTTGGGGGGGTAAAGTTTAGAAACTACAACACAAAAATAAGAAAAATTTAAAGAGTGAATCTGAATCTAAATTATCAATTCTATACTGATACCAAATTGACATTATTGATATTTTGGATCAATCTGCCCACCTTTAGTAAAAATGGCTCTTTGGATTGTAAAGTTTTCTGTCCTCTGTATTATTTAGGTTAAGTTTTGTCTTGGGGTATCAGAGTGAAGGGGTCAATGCAAATACATATAACACTTTTTATTTTTTAATTTATTAAAAAAAAATCTTTAAAAAATTATATTTAATAATTACTAACCTTACTAATAATTACTATGTGTTTGTTACATAAGATCATAATAAATTACACCGAAGTTTGTGACAAAATATGAAGGAAGTTTATGGGGGATAAATACTTTATGAAGCACTTTATGGCCAGCGGCAGCAGTGACGCCTGCAAGAGGGGGCAGTAGGAGGCCTGGATCCCCTGGATAAATGATAAACAAAAAAAATGAAGCAAAGTATTATTATTGTATACTGCTGTGTGTGTGTAGCGTTAAGCAAATGTCGAAAAGCAAAAATAATTTATGCTTCTTTTCATTTAGGAACTCTTGAATCGGATTGAAGACTTCCAACAGCACAGCGAGAAGGTCCTGGTGGAGGAGTCACCCAGCATCGCAGAGATCCAGAGCCTCCTGGACGTCAGCTTTGACTTCGATGTGGACCTGCCGGAGTTGCCTCAGCTGCGGGAGCGTCTGGAGCAGGCCAGGTGGCTGGAGGCCGTGCAGTTGGCCAGCGCCCAGCCCAACACGCTCACCCTGGAGGCCATGAGGAGACTCATCGACCAGGGAGTGGGCTTGGCACCGCATCCGTCCGTGGAGAAAGCGATGGCGCGGCTCCAGGAGCAGCTCACTCTGTCGGAGCACTGGGAGGACAAGGCGAGCAGCCTGCTGAAGGCCAGGTGAGCGCAGCACCACCTGATAAATGGCTGCAGCCACTTCTCCATTAATCTCTATCCATGTTCTGCTAATCTCGAAAAAATACAATTTCTTTTTAAAGTTACATCATTCCTGGAACAAAACGGCTAATCAAAACTTTATCAACAAAAATCCGGTTTTAAACTGTGTTTGCAGCACCTTTTCATTTTGTTTGTAGGAATCCTGTGAATGAAGCAGAAACACATTCATTCATATCATCTGCTGCTAAATAAATAACATGGATCTGACTGAAACATGATGCTTTATTTCAGGCCACCTCACTCCATAGAGACTCTGAGCGCTGCTGCTGAAAAGGCTTCCGTCATCCCAGCTCACCTCCCAAACTGTCTGCTGCTGAAAGACGCCATCAGGAAAGCACGGGAGTGGCTTCAAGAAGCCGAGGAGCAGCAGGTGAGGAAACCCTTGAAAATACTTGAATTTCATGTAGGTGTTTTCAAGTTTTGGAAAGTGTTTCATATGTTAGATTAAAAGCCTAACTTAGAAAATGTGACTTACAGTTGAACCCAGGTATTTTTATACACTAAATAAAAAGACACACATTTTTTCACTCTCTGTGAAGTTAAATCAGATTAAACTTTTCTTGTTTTAGGTTAGTTGGAATTACTGAAATGGTTTCGATTTGCTAAATGTGAGAAAACTTGGCAAAAATGTTTTTTAAAGAAATTTTGTAACTTTTTTTGTATATTTTTCTTTGTTTAGTTTGAGCTGGAAAGTAGTTAACGTTTCCAGCTTGGATTGCTTTAGTATCCTGAATATTTATTATTCCTAATGACAAATAATCAGTGACTTATTGATCTGTGTAATTGAAATAGATGTTTTTATATGTTTTAAGTGAAGGACCGTTATTAAAATTCGGAGAATGTTTTTTTTGTGAAATTAGTGTTTTGTTCTCGTATTAGTCACATGTATAGGGTAACATTTTGTGATATTAAGTTTGACATATTTTAGTTTACATTATTCCTGCTGTAGAATATGGAATACTATCACAAGACATTTTTAACAACATTGATAAATGATGTTAAATGACTAGAGTGATGTAATAATGAATCAAAACTCTGATTTTTATTTCATTTGTTTCGATTTTATCTCCAAAGTTTGGTGCTGGAAAAGTTTGAAAACTTACCTTGAAAATGCTTGAGAAGTGCCTGAATGTTACTGTGGGAAAAGTGTTTAAACTCTGACTTTTCCACTCAAAAGTTGTGCTTCCTTCAGGCCAGCGGCTGCGTCTTGATGGTGGACAGACTCTCCGACATGCTGCTACGCGGACAAGCCATCCAAGTGCAACTGGAGCCGTTGGACCGGCTGGAGTCTCTGATGGCAGACGTGCAAAAGTGGAAAGAATCTGCAGCTGCAACTTTCCTTCTAAAGGACTCGACTCTTACATTGCTGGAGGTATTATTGTACAGATTGTTTTCTTTATCTACCACATTTTACTGAAACATGTCCATATTTAAAATCTGTCGAATGAATGAGGTTTGAAATTTGTTGCGTCCAGAAGTGATCTGAGAATATGGAAGAGCCCAAAAACACAAAATATTACCAAGTATTTTTGGTTTAGTTTAGAAATAAGACAAAACTTAATTACAAAGTACTTTTCAGCAAGATTTAGGAGCTAAATAATTAATTCATACTGACAGAAAAGTTTGACTTAATCAGCCGGTGGAACAAGACTGTTTTTGGTAACACTTTATTTGATGGGTTGTGCAAAAGACTGATGTGAGCCTGTCATGAACATGAACGAGTCCTCATAAATGTTTAGATTTGTTGTCATGAAGCGTCATTTGATAAATAATGACATGTCTAATGCAAAAGTGCACTAAACGTTGCATTATTCTGTAAATAATGACACTTTCAATGCAAAGTTTCATTCAAACTTGCTGTAAAAGTCAATTATTGTCAACTTAGCATGAAAACTGTCATTATTTACCAAATGACACTTCATGAGAACAGTCATAAGCTTTCATAAAGTCTCCTTCATGTTTGACAGTCTCATATCAATCTTTAGCACAACTCGTCAAATCATGTGTGACCCATTTTTTACCATATTAAAGGCTAACAGTTCTAGTTCCACTGGCAGATTACTTAATTCAACAAGATAGTTTTTCCATGTCAGAATTGAAATAATCTGCCAGTAGAACTAATACTTTTTCATCAATATTAAGAAATCATTAATATTAAAACAAGACCCTATATCTTACTGAGAAGTTACTTATTTTTGCCTTATTTCAATATTTATATTAGAAACTAAATTAAAAATACTTGGTAAGATTTTGTGTTTTTGCAGAGTAAGTTAAAAACAACAGAGGTATTTTTTTATTTGAGTCATCAGTTTTAATGTTTAGCTATTTATGTTCTTTTAATGCAGGTCCTGTGTCCAAGATTTGAAGCTGGAGCTGTCGGTTCTCCGAAGAGGAAGGCCAAGAAGGGGAAAGAATCCCTGAAAAATAACAAAAAGAAATCCACACGACTGAACTGTCTCAGCGATGTGGAGAAAGCTCTTTCAGAGACCAAGGACTCTACCTCTGCAGTGAGTGGAGAAAAGCACATAGAAATTGTTTAAAAGTTAAATTCATATATTCTAAAGAGCATTACACACAGAGTTAAATATTTGAGGTGTTTATTTCTACTCATTTTGATAATTATAGCTTATAGCTAATAAAAATGCAACATTCAGTTTCTCAGAAAAGTAGAACATAACAATAACTTTTCTGAAAGGTTTGTCTGTGTTCGCTACAGTAGATGCAGTCGGTTTCGCTCCTTTTATATCAGTTACTGCATTCATGCGGCGTGGCATGGAAGAGGTCAGCCTGTGGTTCAGCTGAGGTCTAATGGAGGCCCAGATTACTTTGACAACTTCCTTTAAATCATCTGCACTGCTGGGTCTGGTGTCTCTCTTCTTCCTCTTAAAGATTCTTAAATGGAAAAAATACAGAATGTGCCATTTTTTCATCATTAACTGCTAATCACACTAAAGCCTGTGTGTGACAGATTTCTCTTAGTAAAAGAAGCATCAGTACAATAAAACAAAACAAATCTGTCTCAAATATTGAACATTTAGAATATTATCTAAGATGATTACAGGTTTAAATTAAATCAAATTATTTCTTGTTTCCTTGTGGAATTTAAAGAAAAGATTTGAGGGCTAATTTTCCAACAACCAGAATCCAGATAGCATTTTTAAAGAGGATCCATTATACAAAATTCACATTTGTGCATTTCCCCCCCCCCAAAAAAAAAACACTATGCTGTGTTTTTGGCAATAAGTTAATATTTTTTGGCCGTTTCATAAACTTCCCTGTTGTAAAGTCACATTCCCGTCAATCTTCCCATCAAATATTGATGGGAACCCAATTGGAGCTCCAGGACGTTTGGTCAGCTAGTTTAACCTCTGTACAATGGCTGTTGGAAAAGACAAGTGTTTTTTAGTCGACTTACCATCCAGAAGCCACCAGCTGCGTTCTTGTCGATTGTGCTGGAGGCTCTGCTAACCTGTCCAAATATGTACGGTAGTATAATTGTGCATCTATTTGCAGCCGTTTTCACATATGAGGGAAAGAGTTTGGGGGCGTGGCCAGCAGCAACTTATCCTGATTTAAAGTGACAGAGGTCCTAAAATGGCTCAAAATTGACAGAATCATTTCTTAATCTAAGAATGATTTTGGGCAACAATGTTAATGAATATGATCTAGAGCCTATCAGTATAGGCTCTTGTTTAAGGAAGCCTAACAAGCCAAATTTAAGCTGTGCAGAAATAAAACTGACTCATTTCATCAACCAGTTGGCGACTCTGGAGGAGCTGCGCGTGAGGGAGATGGAAACCTTCTTCAATCTCAGGGCGGCAAACGAATCGAAGCTCCTCCCCACAGCGGACTGCATGGACCTGAAGGTGTGTTTCTGCCAGAAGGCACCCATGGGAGCCATGCTGCAGTGCGAGCTCTGCCGGGACGCTTTCCACAGCGTGTGTGTCAGGGACCCGGCCGAGTCGCGCGAAACCCAGCCGTGGCTCTGTCCGCACTGCCAGCGATCCGAGAAGCCCCCGCTCAGCAAGGTCCTCTCCCTGCTGGCGTCCCTGCACGGCGTAGGCGTGCATCTGCCGGAGGGCGACGCCCTGAACTATCTGGTAGAGAGAACTCTTAACTGGCAGCAGCGAACGCAGCAGATTTTACAGACGTGTAACCTGCCGGAGTTAGAGGAGAGACCGGAAACACCTCCAACACTAACCCACTGGGTGTCGGGCTGCGACAACACCCACAACAACACTCAGGTTTGTCTTCGGTTCATCGTTTTCTTTTCCCAGCCAGCAGCTAGCCGCAGATGCTAATTCTTAGTTTGATGTTTCTTCTTTCAGGCTCCATGTTTGACTCCAGAGTGGAACAGGACAAGCCATGCTCAGACCGTCTTTTACACCGAGCAGAGATGCATCCCACTACAGGGTCCGTGTTCGCTCAGCTTCAAATCAGAAGCTTGTTCTACACACTTAAATTAAATGACTGCACTGCAAAAAGCACTACATTTTAAAGCGTTTTTGTCTAGTTCCTAGTGCAAATATACAAAACTGACTTACAAGTAACTTTTCTGCTAAATATATGAGCTTGTCTTAAATGAATGATTCTTTAAAATGTATTTTTTAAAAAGTAGCAGATATTTTTTTGCTTATAGCAAAACATTTTTTTGAAATGAAAGTGAAATAATCTGTAACATGACCTGGTACTGTTCGTCAATATCAAGGAATTATTAATTACTGTGGAAAGTTTCCTCTAAGTTAGTTTTGTCTCATTTCAAGTGTTCTAAAATATTTGCATTAGAAACGAGACCAACAATAAAATGCTAGATTTTGTTTTTTTGCAGTTTAATCATTTAATTCAAGTGTGTAGGACAAGGGACACACTGCAAAAACAGAACATCTCACCAAGTCATTTTTGTGTAGTTTTAAGTTCAGATATGTTAATGCACCTTGAATAAGACTAAACTAATTTACAAATATTTTTTTAGCAAAATAGAAAAATTCTTGATTATTGATAAAAAAAAAAATTGAAGTAGTAGATTTATTTCTGATTTCTGAGTGAAATAATCTTCCTAGGGAACTAGTACTTTTTTATCTGTACTAACTCCGATATCTTGCTCAAAAGTTGTAAGTTAGTTTTGTACTAAGATATTTGCACTAGAAACTGGTTCCACTTTTTTTTTTTTTACTTCTGATACTGATATCGATATTTGAGGTTTTGTATCGGCTGATACCAATCCAAAACAGATTATCAGCTTAATTGACATAAAACGTTTCTTTTTATAAACACAGCCATAAATGTACTGAAATATAAAGTTATTTGATAATTTTGCGCCAGAACAGCACACCTCACAATTGATTAAACTTGTAAAAACAGCTCAACTTTAATTAATTCAACTTGTGCAATTATGAGTAGAACAGACAATATAAAATAAATAATAAAGAAGCTGAAGCTGAGAAAAAAAAAAGGTTGACTATTTAAATTTTGGTCGAACATGTAAATAAAAAAATGCAACAAACCTTTCAACAATTTTTGTTTCTCCAGGGCTGAACTGCGAGCTAGAGGAGCTGATGGTGGAGGGGCTACTGCTGCAGGTGTCGCTGCCGCAGGTCCAAAGCCTGTACCACATCCTACTGGACCGAGCCAACAGCCAGCACTCCAACAGAGCCGTTTCGCCGGCCGAGGACGACCCGACAGAACACAGCAAACACATGGAGTTCATCTCTCAGGGAACAAATATGGCACTGAACGAGGTGAAATACTCAACCTCAGCAAATAAACCAAATATAGCTATTGTCGGCACTGTTTGCTACTTTAATAAATAGATTATCAGTTTTGTTATCAAAACTGATGAATTCCTGACCTATCCCCTGGAAAGGATTTATTACAAAATATTTATTATGTTATTTTTTTCTTTGTCATTTTTTTTTGCCTTCTCTTTTTATCCATTCATCTACCGTCTGTTATTTCCATGACATTTTAAAACTGCTTAGTGCTCACACAACTGACATAAATCATCGCAAACTTAAGTATTTTAGATTTTTAAGTTAAGAATTCTGTGTAATTTTCCACCATATTGTTTACACTGCAAGTATTTTACTTTTCAGCAAGAAATAACAGCTTATTTTAAGTCAGTAATTCTTTAATATTGATGGAAAAGTACTAAGTCCACTGCCAGAGTATTTCACTTTTCTCCTCATTCACAGTTTCAGGTGTGTAACATAGTTTTTCTCTTGGTGAGTTTTATCGGGACTGATTCTGTTGTCAGGATGGGAACGACGACACGACGGACGTCATGACGGACGCCATGACGGACACCATGACAGCCTCAGAAAGGAAGGCGAAGAGGCGTCTGGAGAGGGATGGTTTACCGAACGCAGAGAAAAGGGGGAAAGATAAAAAACACTCCCACAAAAGACAGAAGGTGAATAAGAAGAAGCTGCAGCGCCGGCCGGCTTCGACCTCGTCCTCCCCGCGCTCCGACTTCTCCCAGTCCGACGATTCTGACGAAGAAATGGCTGTGTGTCCCGCTGAAAGTTGTCTGCTGCCCGAAGGAGACGAGGTGAGACTCTAAAGTGATCACTTACACTGAAGGTAGCCACATGAAATCGTGTATAGATCTATTTGATCAGAATAAACAAAATATAAAACATATATAAAAGATGATTATTCTTTTATTTATAAACCAACTTGGTTCTTTCTTTCCTTTATAAAGTCGCATCCAAGCCCTGAAAATGTTCTCAGAACAAAACCACAAACTGTTTGAGCTGCAAACAACAAAACCTGAGACGTTTAACCTCACAGATCATCAGTTTTTCATGCTAAATTGATTTTGTTTTCTGTGGTTTCTGGTCCTTGTGCCGCTGCAGGTGGACTGGGTCCAGTGTGATGGCAGATGCAACCAGTGGTTCCACCAAGTCTGCGTCGGCGTCACGGCGGAGACGGCCGAGAAGGAGGACTACGTTTGCGTCGCGTGTTCGCTGAACGATCGACAGACGAGAAAGTGAAGAAAATGAATTTTTAATATTTTTTTTAAGTTTTTGGGAAGTCTGCAGCTCCTCGGTCCGTTCCTGAAGCGTCACTGATCCTGTCCCCGTCCCTCCCCCACACAGTCCCACCTCTCTGACCCTTTTGTAACAATGGTGCTATCTCCTCTTTGACTTGTCGTCCAGAACTATAATGTCTAGGGTTTTTTTGTATTTTTACATATATTATATATATATATTTCTTTCTTTCTTATAAATTGTTGTGGTTGTCTAAATGGAAAAAAGAAACAAAGGACATTAAGTGTGCTGCATGGGTCTGCATTTCATCGGCACAACGGAGTCTTACACCACGATACCCCAAGTAAAAAGCGCTAAGGATTCAAATTTATCTTCTTTGGAGCCTCTTTGCATGTTTCACAGAGTTATGGGGGATGAAAAGGAGTTATTAACCCCAGTAAAAATAACTATAATTGCTTTTTGTTTTTCTTTAAATCTCGTTGTTTAGTCCATGCATCTTAATATAATTATTCCCGTTTTTGTTTTTGTAGAATAGGTTTTATTTATCTGAGCAATAATTTTTTTTTTTTTACTTTGATGGCTTGATCTCTGCCAAGTTGTGTTTTTAGCGATGATGTTGATGTAATGTAAAGAAAGTTACGTGGACGGGTTACGGCTGCGGAGACGTACCAGAGCACGCCGGAGGAAAAGCGAAAAAAACGAAACACGCTGCTGACATGCAGATCCGCAGGATGGTAACCGCGCATACGATAGAGAGGAAAGGTGAAGATGTTACAATTTATATTGTGGAATAAAGACCTTTTGTTCTATGGAGAGGTTTTCTCATCTCACTTGGTGCAAAGAATTACATCATAAATATTCTCCATTTATGGATTAATTCACTACAGACTGCTGCAATTATTTAAAAAACAAGATTTGAGTGAATAAGTTTGAATTTATCACATTTATTCAATTTTTTTCCCCTGATCCGAACATTTAGCTGAACAAGTTGAGATTTTTCTTTTTATAAAAAGGAAAAAGATATATTTCTTAAATCATTTGCCGTTTTTATCTCCTCAGTAATTCAAAATATCTTAATAAAGTGGTCTAAATTTTGTAGAAAAGGAATCTTGAATTATTGTTGATCAAAAAATATAATCAGTCTCAGTCAGTTGTTCAATGAAATGACAGAAAAATATTTTACAAAACGTTTTGGGGGAGTTTATTATGATTGAGTATTGGGGCTGTATTAAGAAAAAAATAAAAACATGAAATTACAAGAATAAAATCATGAGATTTTAACAAAGTCGAAAAGTCGCTAAAAATACTAGTCTGGGAATAAAGTTATATTACGAGAATAAAGTCAAAATACAATAAAAATAGTCAAAATGATATGAGGATAAAGTCAATACTACAAATATAATACCAGAATAAAGATGTATTTCAAGAATATAATCATAATTTTATTCACTTGTGACTTTATTCTCGTATTATTTTTACTTTATTTTCATAATATTTTGACTTTATTTTTTTGTGACTTTATCCTTGTAATATTATAACGTCATTTTCATAATTTTATTTTGAATCTATTGTTTTAGCGTGGCCCTAATACTGCGTCTTTGTTTATTGTCCTCGTTTTTCTTCTCCTTTTTTGTTTTATTTTTCACTTTTTACAATGATTGGTTTTAGCATGTAGTGTAATAAATGAAAACAGGAACATTAACAAAACAAACACGGTTTTGTCTTGTACCTAATAAAATATTTTATTTGTCTGCAAAAATCTAGAATTAAACCTCTTGAATTTGCTTCATAATTGAATTGTGGGCCAATTAAAATCATCCAGTGGCCCACTAATGGCCCCTGGGCCACACTTTGGAAATCCCTGATCTAAACTCTTGAATAAATATTTCCACCCGACTAAGGTGTTGCAACAGAAACCACACTTTTGTAGCCGTCAGCTGGGATAACTAAGGCTCCCTTACAAGCTCAAGCTGAAATTCTTGTATTGGTCAAATAGAAGGGAAATCACAAAAATTAAAATAAGACGTTTTTGTTTTATTTCATTTATTTGTTAATTTAACCCTTCTAGGCTGAGCGTGTCGACTACTCGGCCAAATTAGCAGTACCGTAATTCCACAACCCTTTGCGCTCTCTGAAAAATTCCAACGGTTTGTGAAAGGGGAGACGCTGCGCTTTCCAGCCAACATTGGGTTATTACGGTAATCTCACTAACGCCGGAGCAGGAAGTGAAATTAATCTGAACTGAGTACATAATAGCCTCCATTTTAATTAAAATAATAATAAATGTAAACAATACGAGCAAGCGAATCTCGGCACATACAGAATTAAATAAAGATATAAACTAATAAAAGGGAATTATTTAAAAGAAAATATACATGTTTAAAAAAGTTACCAATGTTTTCATATACCATTTTTGTTTTGTCTGTTGCATTTAGTTATAATTATTTTTTCGTGCTCATGGAGTATTAAACAGTTGTTAAATTTTCAATTGGGTTAAGCTAATTTCAAAACCAGTTCTGTTCTTTCGGTTTTGCTCTTGATAACTTCAATGTATCTGGTTAATGACCGGAGCTGTTGCAAGATCCTTGTTTGTCGACTTGATTAAATAAGGGCAGGAACACTTTGTTTTGAAACATGGCAACACTCCCTCTACAGAGTAGCTATTAATATCCTGCAGTCATAAGAATATGAGCGGCCTCAGTGATAAACCCAACTCCCATATTTAGCCAGTGGAACAAGAAAGAAATGCTTTAAGGCTAACTCATTTGATCCATTCAGTCAGAGAACAGAGGACAGAGGAAGGCCAGTCAGAAAGGAAATTTCTACTCATGATGTGACACAAACAAGCATTACAGAGGAGAGGTCAGAGGTCAGCATCTAAAACCAGGAAATGTCGTTTCTAAAAAGAGAACCAAGAAGTGGAAAGCAAGAGAAGCACAGGAATTTGGAAGGAAACCAATAAAAAGAATCAGATCCTCTAGCAGTTTTCCAGCTCATCACACTGTGTGAAGTTTTGATTTAGCGAGTTTTATATTTAATGAAATTATTTAGAAAGGTGTTTAGAATTTAGCATTTTGCAATTATGTTATTTGTATTAAATTTTTAGGTTAGTTTTTAAAATACCAAAATTTGCACATAACATTATGTTTTTTGTCTATATGATGACATCAAAAAATATGTTATTATGTATGCTAGGATAATTTCTTAGAGAGCTACTTTTTACATTTACTTGAAGAAAAATATGTGTTAGTAGTTCTTACCTGTGTAAAAAATTTGGGTACTCTACCCTCCTCTGCTGAATTGATTGCATAAAGTGAGACTTTCCTCTGCTTCCATTCACTAGAGGATGGATCAATCTGAAAATATTGATACATTTCAGTTTCAGACTTGAAAATATATTCATTTTGGGTTCAAAACTCTCAAAAAAATGTATTTTTCATTTAAGAAAATATTTTAACAAATGTATTCTACTTTTCTATTGTTACTTTTTATTATGTTAAAATGTTGTTTGAGTATTTTGTAGCATCTATAATCTTTATCCAAAATCCAGTCTCAAATTTTAACAAGATAATTAAAAAGAAAAAACAAACAAAAAAAAACCCCTCAAGGTTAGAAATGTGATAATATATTTTACAAAATACAATGTTTGCTGTCAAAGACGTCACGGTAGAAATGAGAAATGAGCCACATTATTTTTCTGCTGCTTTTAAATTCTTGAGTTAAATGCCTGTTTATTAGGTCTCCACGCTTTTATCCGGACAGTTTCAAGTCAGAAATATTCATTTCTATCGTAACTTGGATCGCTCTGATTGGCTGCTTCTGCTCCAATCAGCAGCCACAGCCGGAGCTCTCCGCACATTCAGTCTGATTTAACGCACTCACATAGCGGAGCACGGTGAGTCTCTTCAAAAAGCTGATGCATCTGGAAAAAATTTATAATTTCAAGGCTAATTATCTAGATTGTGTCTTTGTTAGATTAGTAGTTATCGTGTGAACTTGTGTTTGTTTCTCAGTCCTTATTTGTTTATGACTTATATCCTCAGTTGTAGAGAAGCAGTGCTGTGGGTAATATAGCTTAGCTATGGCTAACAAGAGAGCTAGTGAGTAACTGACGAGTTCTCGACGCAAACTATGTTTTCGCTTCAAGTGAGCGTATTTAATTATACCAAAGCGGTCTCCAGTATTTTAATGGTTCATCCGCATACCGATGTTAAACACAGTAATGACTTGGAGCTTAAACTTTTGGGAAAAGCTAATAGTTTCAGAGTAGTGACTAATGCTAACTGGCTAGCTAGTTAGCGCCCCATTTTAGCTAAAAAGTACAGAGAGCCCAAACTGTGAGCCAGACACCAGGAAACATAAAACTGTGGCCTTTGTGCTTTTTGAAGGTTTGGTTAAAATTAGTTACCACCTTGCTTGCCGCTAACTAGATTTTCAAATATATTAACAAGGCGATTAATGAACGCCGATAGTTAGCTTTTACCTGAGTGTGCTAACTAAATGCCAGTACATAAGTTGTCAAACTTTTTCCTGGACAGCTACTTCTAGTTTCCGTTTACCCCGTCTCAGACTTTGTGATAAATCACGGTTTCGTGTGCTTGTTTTTGTTTGTAACAGCTGTGGATTTTTAAACGGTGTTAAAGTCTCAGTGTTGGGGTTTTTGAAATTAATAGCCACACCCTTCCCTTCCTTTCGAAACCAACTACGGTACAAGATGTGAGCTCATTTTTATTGGTAACTTTACAGCTGCCCTAACTTTTGAAGGTTTTAAACGGAGCTCCCAAATGAGGAGGTTTATAGAAATAGTTTTAAATCCAGACTAGAAGTGTATTTGATCGCTTGAGTCGAGTTGAAATCCCCCTCCCTCCTCTGTCGCTGACACATGATACTTACTGTCTGTGAACTGAAGATGTTGTCCCCTGGCTTCCTACTGTGGGAGGAAAATTAATACCTTTTGTTATTAATGGTCCAGATCAGCCTTTTTTCATACTGAACGACGTGGCAGACAGCTTTAGTAATTTGAAAGGTTTTGTAATATAAAGTTACAACAAATTTTAACTGTCTACATAAAGAGAAAATGTGCAACAAATAATGTTATGATGGAAACTATTCATCTGTTTGTTCAAATTGCAAAGCTAAACACACCACCATTTTTTTTTATCATTGAGTAAAGTTTCCTGTACATTTAGCAGTGACATGCTAACAGAAACATATATTTGTATCTTACATTTGATACTGGTAAGCATGAGCTCAATAGCTGTTTATGAAGATTTTATTTCTTTAAAAATCTTTCGCAAATGCACTCTTTGGGCTTCCGTAGTTTGGAGTGATGCCCAGTGACTTGTCATTTTGATTTACAGGCATGTTTTACAGATTGTATTAGTTGCACTTTGAATTCAAGTCAACTCCCAGAAGGGATTATTGGGGGGGAAGCAAGTCTTTGAAAATATTTCTATTCAGAAAATTATTGATTAAAATCAAATTTGGTAGGGAAAAAAAATCTAATATCTTATTTTTAAGCCATATCACCCAGCTCTGTTTAATTTAGGTATTTATTTACGGTCATACCTACCACTTTTTCTTTTTTTGCTCTAGTCTCTTGATTTATCATACTACCAGCTGAGCTATCTCCTTAAAAAGCAGCTTTTTTTATCCGCGGTTGCTTTGTGGAATATTTCCAATAACAATGAAAGCATTGTTTGTGGCATGGTGGTCCAACAATACCCTGTTTGATTTACACAAAGATGACAAGAATTTTTAATATCAGCCAAATTTATTTTTCCAACAACCTACATACCAAACTTGAATGGATT